TGCAGCGATCTCGTCTTGACCTCGGTTTACCGACTGCGTCTGGATTCCTGCAATCGCATTTGGCTGTTGGATGCGGGAATTTCGCGTTCCCTGGAGGATTACGAAATCACCTGCCCACCGAAGATCTTGGTGGTGGACTTGGCCACGGATCGAGTGGTGCGTCGAATCGACTTCCCCCCGGAGGTCCTGCGAGGAGAGTCCCTCTTCACCAACATGGTGATCGATGAGACGACGGCGAAGGGATGCGACGATGTATTTGTCTATATTACGGACACCGTTGAACCGGGAATCATTGTGTACGATAGTGGAAAGGACGTCACCTGGCGGGTCTCGCATCCGGCCATGTATCCCGATCCGGATTTCGCCCAGTCGGAGATCCTCAACGATCGCTTTGTCCTGATGGACGGCGTAGTTGGGATAACTTTCGATGAGCGCACCGGAGTGGTTTACTTCCAGCCCTTGGCCACCGATAGGTGAGTAATCTCTAAAAACGTTTGCTTACATTTTTAAAAATATTACTATCAGCTGAACAACATATAAAACATTGTTTTTGGATTAGCTACTTGTTATACGAAACAGAGTAAGACAGTAAATAATTCAGCCATCATAAACAAGTAAACAAGACCCTCAAAATATATAAAGATTGACTTAAAATAATTGGTCACGTATTTTCAGCAAAGAGTTATTATTTATAATGCCTTACATTTCTTACTTTCAAATTTCAATGTTAGGTTAATGTTGGTTTAAATAATAAGCATTAAATAAATTCAAAACTCATTAAACAAAATTTGTGCTTGGTCGGAAAAAAACTAGTAAATGATTGTATTATAATTCAAAGTAGTTTAAAAGTTGGATTCTCAAATATTTAAGGTCAGTTACAAATTCCTGCATAAAATTTGCAAATATAATAATTGTTTGCAATATTTGTAAGCTTACTTTAAAGGCCTTTAAGATTTCTAAAAGTTTCTAAATGTTCTGAATGTTTTATTGTAAAAAGAGTAACATTTTAAACTGAAACAAACTCCTTATATTTTTCAGAGTTTTCTCCGTGCACAAGAATGTCCTGCGTGCGGGTCCCTTGCCAGATAACAAGATGTTGGATGTGAAGCTGGTGGGCAAGAAGAGTTCCCAGGGCATTGGACTCTCCGTTTCGCCCTTCGACAGCAGTCTGATCTTCAGTCCCATGAGTGAGACAGCCATCGCCTCGTGGAATCCAACGACCAATCAGCAATCCGTGCTGGCCTTCGATCGCGATCAGTTGCAGTTTGTGGCCGATATAACCACTACAAAATCGGAGCCGGGTGTGATCTATGCCATCTCCTCGAAGTTCCACCGCTTCTTCCTGAAGAACCTGAATCCCAATGAGTTTAACAATCGAATTGTGAGGCTGGAACTGCCCGCTGGAAACTCCCTTTTGGGTCATCGAGTTGCCCTGCCCGCACCACCCACTCACAATAGTTTGCTGAACTATGGCGTTTATAATACCCACGGTCAGACCTCGACGAATGCACTGCAGACGTATTTCACCAGTCCGGCGCTGACCACGCCCCTTACCACCAAATCGCCCTTTAAGTTCGAACTCGGCGGAATCGTTAACTATGCGGCCCGAAATCCATTCACGGCTCTCAATCAGGGCGAGGCCTTCCCGCCCAGCAAGGCGACCAGGGACAACTACCAGCGATCGTATCTGGACACTCTGGTGGGCACCACTGCCCCGGCGGCCACCACCCGTGTGGTTTCGGTGCCACCCACTGCCTACAGCAACCGCCACAGTGGCTACTACTATCAGCGAGCAACGAGATCGTTGGGAGAGCAGTGAACGACCACTTGCGGGCACGCTGCGTATACGCAATGCGTAGAGCAGCCGATGTAAATAAATCCCTATAAATGTAAATTGATTAAAATTATTTAAACACAAATATATCCGTATGTTTTTTTTGAGGCCTTTTGAAAAATTTTTAAGCGATAATAGCAATGTGTATTCGTTTTAGTCATAGTTTTTAAAACTGCACGATGAATAACTCAAAACATGTGAGTCGTTCATAAGGCTTTAAAGCCTTGACATTTTCTTAATAATGAACTCCGTAATATTGGAGAGTGAAAATTGATTCATGAAAAGCGACCAGGAAGTTTTACAAATTGTTCAAAAATATTGAAGACAGAAAATGAAAAAAAGGTAATATATTTGGTAAGAAAACAATATATTAGCATCAGTGAAAAGCTATATTAATGTTTCGCATTCAACTTAAAATTCCAATCAATATTTTTTTACTTTCTTTTCACTAGCTAAGTTTTAGATTAATGCTGGCAATAAGTCAACTATTTAACATTCAAACCAATTAATTAAACGTTAATATCTGGGGTGGCACTTTACCATGGATTATTTTCGCATTCATATGCATTGAATGGCAGTATCACAGCTTTATTAATAATCGAAGAGATTAACAATAATGTCGGAACGAGTATTCCACCTGCTGCAGATTAGTTTGGTAACAGCATATGTCCATATCTGGAACAGGGTATTAGAGATTGTTAAATACTTGCAAGGTGATACTCTTGCTTCCGGCAGGTTTTTTATTTTACGCTTCGTTGACTTTAAATATTACTTAATTTGGAAAATTAATATTTGTATCTTAACACCTCTAAATAAGTTGTTTTTTGAGATTATGGCAAAGTAGAGTAAGGTTAAATAAAATGTGCGAAGAATATTTTTTTTTTGTTAATTCCAAATTAAGCGACCAGTTTCAGTCGTCACACAATTTTAGTATTTGAATGGAATTAATAATTTGAAACTTAAACCGGTCGATGGCAGGCGTCGTTGGAATTAGATAGTATCTCCTGCTCCAGGCAGTAATTGATGAGAAAACAAGAAACAAATTGTACAGGGGCAAGGTGTACAGATTTGTATGTTATACCAGAAAGTGACATTTGTAGGCAGTCAAGCGAGTGGGATTGGTTAATTGATTAGGAATTTGATTCGGGGGCAATCAATTGAAACACTTTCTAATATCAATAATAAAATATGAATTGCGAACATGTCCACAAGGTGAATATGCAGAAATACTGCGAACTTTCCATGTTCAACAAGATTTATTTCAAAATAGTTGGTAATAAAATTTGACTTTTGTGATCTCATTTCCTGAATTACATCCTTATATCAGTGATATGTAATAAGTATAAACCATGTATTTTATAAGTCCATCTCCAATAAAATAAAAAATAAAAATAAACATAAAGAAGAAGTGGCTGACGCGCTTAAATCGAAATACATTTCATGACTTTGCATCCATTAAAAATATGTTTTGGTCCCCCATTCATTAGGTTTCGTTTGACCATTTTGAAAGCTCAATAAAAAAGTTTTTTTGTGACTGGAGTAGACTGTCTGATGAACAAAATGGTTTTTGATTAATTAAACAAATTAAACGAAGTTACCGACAAATGCACCACCGTTGCACTCAAATGCCACATTAATGAGGCGTGACATGACAGCCGAACTAGTTTCTGCCACATTTAATGACTTGATTTCTTCATTTTTCTGGTTGTGGTTTAATTCTTAGTGGCGTGCCTCCTACCACATTTTATGCATATTAAAGCAGCAGACCAAAACTAATCATAAGCTCATAAACACCCAATGATTTATTCATTAACGATTGAATGATTGAATTCTATGTTTCTTTAACCAGCAAGCTGATAACAGTTTTAGCATAATTCATGGTTAGTTGAATAGCTAGAAAATAAATAACAAATTTCTATCTACTTAAAGAAGTTTAGTTGTACATACAATTTAAGTTCACTACCAAACGGAATTTCTTTCTTGAATTAAATAATTCATATTATTTAATTCCACCAAATTATGTTTAATCTATATAAGACAAAGCTTTTTTGATTAAGACCCCAAATACATTTCGGTGGTCTCATTATCTCTTCATCAGTTTTTATTGGGTTTTTTACAAGGAAACAAAAAAAAGCAAATGAATGACAAATCAAATAAAAATGTTAGCCCATTAACATACATATGTATTTTGTGATGAATCTTGTCGAAAGTTTTTACGGAAGTGGAAATGGATTCCATTTTAAACTTAATAAAATGAAAGTGAACAAAATATTTAGTTCAAAATTATAACTTTAAATTATAATAGTCATTTTAAAATGTTCGTTGCACTTATTTTCAATATTATTAACTCAATGAATTCGTAATCAAATAAGATATGTTTTAATTTGTTATTTTTAATAGTCCAATGACAGACTAATTTATAATTTTCCTCCAAATTAAGTATTTTAGATGACTGTATTAGTAGCCCAAATGTGCTTGAACCAATAAACTATTAAAATAAACTGGCTGATATTTATAAGCTTGGTTAGCAAGCCAACTGATAAGAGCTTTGACATAAATCAGTCCATGGCTTGTTCGTGGTTTTTTCAATGTCAATACATTAAATCAACACTTTTCTACCTGAGGAACTCTAGTTAGCAACATATGGCTGTGGCTTTATTTAATAAATCATCAAAATTCCGCGATTCGAAGATATTCATACTCTTTTTAACTCATCTAAGAAAATATTTAACAGATTTGATGTTTATAAAGTTGATGTTAAGATTATAGTAATATTAAAAAACATTAACTAACAAATAATCGTAATAAAATTTTATTTTGAATACTAAGTGATTTTAAGGGTAAAAATAATGTATTAATAAATATATTTTTCTTACCCTATAAATACACCAGAGAAGTAATATTATTTAGTGAAACGAATTTATTAATAAAATTATTTTTACTTAGGTCAACGAACGTTTTGGCAAAAAGGAAATACTCTTGATCAGAGTATGGTATTAAAAGATGAGAAATAAACGCAAATAAACAACCGAACTGATACAAAATACATTTTAAAAACCAGTTGGAGCAAGTATGATATGCCATCTTAAAATGGCCTTTGTTTTTGTTATCTCACCGTCTGTATGGTTTTTTGGAGTCCGGTGGGTTAGTATAAACGCAAGAGCCCTCGAGTAAGGATCACTCACTGTGCAGAAGAAACCTGAAAATGTAAACGAATAACTACTTTAACTGGTGACAACATTTAGTGATTACAATCTATTTGGATTTATATATTTAATGTACAACTTTATTCATCCTAGGCTGATTCTAACTCTTATTTTGGGGATTGCTTATCCCAATTTTTGCCTGGCGCAGTATTATATTAATCGCCCCAGCCACAACTTTCCGGAATTCAAGTTTCCCTCAGAAAACAAGGAACTGCCTATAGTTTTTGAGTGGAAGAACATTCAATATGGTTTCCCCAGTGAACAGGAAAGGCAGCAGGTGCTCCGAAATGGTCGCTATAATCCGGATAGTCCCATTCCCATAGATATTGATGTCTATTACCCACGTAAGCAAAATATAAATATTAAGGGAAGTCACAGAAAGAACATAATGATTGTTAATGATTTGCAAAATATTGTCGTGACATATTGATATTTTTTGCTTTACATATTTTCAAATTCGGCTTACGTCCAATTAGCTAAATATGTGTTTGTAAATTACTCAGCTATCATTTATTTTCATAACGAGCTTTTTGGCTGTTTACCTTTTGTTAGTAGGTTTTAAATAAAGGTAAGCTGCATTAATTTAAAATTATTTATGATCATTCCTAAATATACCCTTTGAATACATTTTTTGTTCTACAAATTATTTATGATCATTCTTAAATATACCTTTGAAGTTTTACTATTAAACACCAAGATCATAACCATTTTTTCCCCTTCCTAATTGTTTCCAATAAATATTTCAGCTAATGGAGGACCCGCTCGACACTTTGTGACCACGCCTCGTTTTGGACAGGGCGTTCCCTATTCTCTGGCCTATGTAACGAATGTGCAGAGGGAAAATGGCAGTGAGATACAGGCATATCCCAGTTACCAATGGCACAGCAGCCATGGAGCCAACTGCGATGGCCTGACCTCCGTTTATCGGGTCCACATCGATGCCTGTGGTCGGATGTGGATCCTGGACAGCGGAGAAATAGAGTTTGTGCAGCACTGCGCCCCGCAAGTGGTGGTCTTTGACTTGGCCACCGACCAGTTGGTGCATCGCTATCGCTTACCCGAATCCTCCTACAAGGCGAAGGTGAGCAGGTTCGTGAATATCTTTGCGGACATAAGGGATCCACCGCCCAAGGGAAAGTGCAATGATGTATTCGCCTACCTGGCCGATCCCACCAGCAAGGCGATTGTGGTGTACGATGTGGTGGGTCAGAATTCGTGGCGCATTGAGAACAAATTCACCTATCCGGATGCCAAATTCGGCACCCACACGGTGGCAGGTGAGAGTTTCGAGCTGTTGGATGGACCCTTGGCCCTGGCGGTTACTCCCTTGGGTCTGGGAATGCGCCGTCATCTGATCTTCCACGCTCTGTCCAACGAACTGGAACTGGCCATTCCCTTGGATATCCTGAATAATGCCACCAAGTGGCAAGGGGGCTTGAGTGCCTCACTCTCGGAATTCGTGTCCTTGGGAAGGAGGGGCGTTCAGTGCGCTTCGCATGCGATTAGCAGGCGTGGAATCTTGTTCTGCGGTTTCCTAGATCCCATCGCAATTTTCGGCTGGGACATACGGACGCCCTACAACCGACAGAATGTGCAACTATTGGCCCTGAATCCGGATACCCTGCAGTTTGTGAGCGGAATGAAGATTGTACAGAGACCTGCGGATGGGCGGGAGGAATTGTGGCTGCTGTCGGATCGTCTGCAGAAGATATTTGCCGGAACCATCGACTACAGGGAAATCAATTACCGGGTGCTGCGATGCGATGTGGACGACCTGCTGCAGGGGCGGGGCTGCTTTTAGAGCCCAGAGACCCTTGAGAACCGAGAGGCTGGCTGTGTAAAACACACTTTAAGCCGCCATAAAAGATGTCCATCCATAAACCTTGGGACTATTCGAAAGTGTTTGCTTGGCCGCCACAGGTACACGACCCTTGTCTTTGATCTCGATGGTCAATTACACTCGGAAAAACAATTACACAGTCGTCCAATCATTTTAAAATATTTTGTGATTATATAACTTTTATCTAGTTTTAGTTTTTAAGATTTGGAATTCCCTTTTCAACTTTTTATCTGAAAAAATCCCAACCTCTCTATATTATATAACAATTAAATGTTTCAAAAATTGTAATGGCAAAAAAAATAAAAGATTATAGTTTAATATTTAAAACTACAAAATAAACACTTATTTAAATTTCCATGGCACTAGGAAGTGTTTTTGAGTTTACCAAAATAAAAATGAGTTAGCAGTCTAGCACATATTGTTTAAGTGCACTTTCGACTAAAGGTTAACAACTTTTGCGCCTACCTGCACATCTTCAGTCTTCGGAAACCGTTTGAACAGCATGGAACTGTCACTTGGCAGGTCCTCACTTAGTGCCATGATAGCAATCCTCCTCGGCTTGATCTGTGTGGTTGGGGGCCAGCGATTGGTCCTCAAGGAGCTGCACACTCTCCACCAGTGGACGAATCTCAGCTTGGGAGACCATCCGACCAAGGACAATCGCTTCCTGCCGGTGGATGTGGACATTGAGTACGGCGATGAGGGCAGACATCGCACCTTCCTCACGATCCCGCGACTCGGCATGGCCACACCCTTTACACTGGCCACCGTGTTTGACGATGACAACGAGGTGGTGGAGAATCCCAGGCTGGTGGCCTATCCCAATGCGGAGTGGCACGTGCCCCCCAATAATTGCTCTGGCATCACCTCCGCCATTAGGACCTATGTGAGTTTCAAAATGCATTATTCGTAATTATAATAAGCTAAAAACTGGGAATAATTAGGCACAATGGAATAGCTAATTTTTAACAATACCTAGTAAGGTTAAAGTCCTCAAATATCTATAATGATATTCGTATTTATTTGGCTTAACATATTGCTTATTTTTATTATAGTTACTATATATTTAACAACTGAACAACAAGTGTTAGGACTCGATAAATTTTTCAATATATTTAGTAAGGATTAACCTAAATCCGTTTTTTGTTGCTCGTAACATAAAGTGTAATTTAAGTGGATTTCTAAATCCGTTCTGTTTTTTTATAATTCTCAGATCGACGAATGCTGGCGTCTTTGGGTGGTAGACTCGGGGCAGGTCAACTCCATACAGCTGTGTCCACCGCAGATCCTGACCTTTGACCTGATCAGCGATGAACTAATACAGCGGCACTCACTTCCTCCGGATGCCTACACGCCCAGCGTTTCCATCTTCACAGCTTTGGTGGTGGATCTGGCGCAAAGTGGGACGCCCAATCGGTGTGTGGGTGGCACAGCCTATATAGCCGATGCCTGGGGATATGGCCTGATCGTGTTCGACTCCTTGTCGGGCCGATCCTGGCGCATAGAGCACGAGTCCATGAGGCCCGTGGATTTGGTGGGTACGCGATTGGCCCGATCCAGCAACTCCCAGGCGGGAATATTCACAGTGAGCCTCAGTCCCAGTGAAGTTGAAGGTAATTTATCGGAAGATCTAGCTAAAAACATAGAAATTATATTTGAAATTAATGTAAGAACAAACAAAATATTTTTAGAGCGCTTCCTGTACTTCCACACACTGAATGCCTTCAATGAGGTGAGGGTATCCCTCAGTCTGGTCAACAACGAAACAATCTGGAAGACCACGAATGCCAGCCAAATCAAGGAGCACTTTGACATCCTGGGCACCCGGGGAATCCAATGTGAATCGGAGGTGATGGATCAGTCCGGGAATCTCTTCTGCAGCCTCATCAGTTTGGGGGCTCTCATCAAGTGGAAGGAGAGCTCCAATTACACGGCGGACGACCTGCGAGTGGTGGCCTACAATCCGCACAAGATCAAATTCGTTACGGGCCTCAAGATCAACCGGAATTCCAAGGGAGAGGAGGAGCTCTGGGCCTTGAGCAGTCAACCGAAACTTTTTGTGGGCGGAGCTCTGGCCGAGAACGAGGTCAAGTTCCAAATAATTGGCTGCCGCACAGCTGACCTCCTTGCTAATACCCCGTGTACAGTGGGTGCTACAGAAACCACGCCCACTAAAGATTAAATATATCTTAGGTCTAACGAGTTTTAAGCTACGTCTATCGATAACTGGTATTTGAATTGATAACTCTACAAAGCTGACTGCTATGACTTAGATTGATCTGCGGGCACACTGAATCGGCGTTGCCAGATCCATTCTAACCAATAGTATCGAATAAACATATGATTTTCGTTCACCTCTATGTTTACGTGTATAATTTTGTTTTGGATTTATTAACCATTAAAATCAATATAATTTAAATATGACGAACCTACAACGCTGGCTATTTTACGCATCGCTATTTGCAGTGCCATATCTTTCAATTTGTTTGGGAACAGTGCAAACGCAATTTACAAACAAGTATTTTCTGCACATTCAACTTCTGCCACTTCTACTTCTCGTGATTTTCGGCGTAAGTTCTTGCCAACAATGCCGCTGATAACGCCTGTTACTAATTATTATGATTGCATCCTCAGATCTATTCCGTTTGGACAGTTCTATATAGAACTCTAACTTTTAACGACTGTCCCGAGGCCGCCAAGGAACTTCAAGATGAGATTCTGGAGGCACGCAAGGATTTGATAGCCAAGGGATTTCGGTTTCGCGACTGAAGAGCAGGGATTTCAACCTCCCAGGACATGTGCATGTTAATCTGTAATTCCATTATTTATAAAAAAAATCACGCAACTGTACTCTAGACCACTTTTTGTGTGGGCGGATGTCCTGTAAGGGTTGATTTCCCCAGGTGCCAAAAGTTTGAAACAAAAATATTCTGAGGTTTTGTAAGGAATAACATTCTTAGGGAATCAAAAAAATCAAATAATTAAATTAAAGATAAACAGTAAAATTTGTTTTTTTTTTTTTCCTCTTAAGATAAACATTGATAAGAATTTTTAATTTAAAAAATTTTAGACAAAATTATTTCCGATTTGAAAAACTTATCTTCTTGAAAGGAATAAGGGGGCGCTAAAGACTCTTTTTGATTTATAACAATCAACTAAATTTAATACAGTCTTTAAGTTATTTCATTATACAATTTAAAGCTAAATGCAGCCGACCTTAAGATACAACTATATACATAAGCCAGAAATTAGATCGGATAAAAATATCTCCTGATATACTTAGCTTAAATTGTGAACTCCATCTCTGACTGGAATAAAACTCGATCGAGAGTCTGGAATATTGATGTGCACGCGTACATAGAGTAAGAATCTATATAGAGGCATAGAGTAAGAAACTATATAGAGGTTTCATTTGCTCTGCCCGCGCTCTCGAGTGACTTTGCCAGTGATGCCACGTACGGGAAAAACGGAAAAAAAAGAAAGTTTTTCATTTGTTCGATCGAACTGGAATCGAGTCCCGCGGTGATAAACGCGGTGAAACCTCTTTATAGTTTCTATGTGTTTCTATGACACAGGAAACAACAAAGCTGAAATCACACTGGTCACACCGACCGTGAAAAAGTAAAACGAATATACTGTCGGCTTTTTAAAATATACTTTTAATACCATTTTATTTTTCAAATATGAATACCCTAAATGATCTAGTGATTTTCAGTTGAAAAATGGGCAACACTAGTTATAGTATCGTTATATCCAAAGCATTCCGGTTACCTAATACTCCACTGAAATTCAAACATTGCTGGATACACAGAACCGATTCTTCGCAAAAATATGTCGAGAAAAATTATATAAAATTATTTTAAGTTTAGCCGTTACAAATAGTTTGGACTTACACTGAAATTATACAACAGTAATTAGAGATATTCATATATTCATTTTCAATGTCAATATAATTGGTTCAGTAATACATTATTTTATTTGGGCTTTACCCAAAACGCAAATACATATTTTGAATTTCTCTTCATCCTTTTCGACTTTCTGAATTTTTTTCTGAACGAATATAAACAACAAATTATAAATTTATATTTAATTTTAATTCGTTTCCTTCGTTCTTTGGTAATTTTACATATTCAAACAAATATTAGTTCCTTTTACATTATCAACAATTTATTCAGGAATGCCAAACTATATCAATTTTGTTAGTTTCCAAGTGAGTAAACCTTTGCTCCCATGCTTTTGTATTCACATATCTACATATGTATGTATCACTAATGCTTTATTTTGAAATAAAAGACGTAATCAATTTATATTTCACAACGTCATTATTATCACTGTGCAAATATTTGTACGCCCGTATTGCCTTTTCGTCATAGTTGATGTCTCAACAGCTTCCGATGGTGAATCATATTAGTTTTCGCCACTCTTAAGAAGCTCACGTGTTTTTTTAAGGACCAAGATCTCTTACAATTGTTACCAACCATTAAATATTTGAATTTTTACGTTACTTTCACCCCCTCCAGAGACCTCTCAACCCCACAAATAAACACTCTCCCGCTCTCTTGGATCTCAATCGCCGGCTTTTCGCTTCCAATCACTTTCCAACGAGAGAGCGCCAGTATAAAATCGGAGGTTGGAGCGCAAAAAGCCATAGTATTTATTCACATCGTTTGCAGTTCGCATCGTCAGACTTGTACGTTTAAAAGTAAAATTTCATTGGTAAATGTTGAGGAATTTGTAGATAAAACATTTTGTTTACTCTCGCTGTGCCAGAAATCGCAAATTCAAGTGCAAAAGCAATCCGAAAAGTGAAAAGAAAGTGTGTGCTAAGCAATCAGATTAAAGCAAGAATTTTTGGTGCCAAGGGCATTTTGTAGAAACCTGGGCGTGGCGTCAGAAGAATTCTCCAGAATCACTCCCATGAGAGATGAAATTGCTCTATTTACTTCGAAGTGTACATAGTTCCATACGCAGTTCAAATAAAAGAGTCGGCAAGGGGAAAAATACAAAATCGAAAACCGAGATGACATCATCAAAAGCGCCTCTCTTTTGGCGTTTCCTCTCCCCGTTCGCAAACGTGTGTGACTTTTGCTCATCTCCCCACTAAATCTAAGTAAACTTTTCGTCCGATTCTTCTTTTTTCACTTGGGATGAGAAACAGAATTCTTTAGAATAGCGTCAAAATGTCTTTCATGTGCCGTTTTCCCTGCCTAATTTTGTAATTCAATCAACTTCAATTGCTCTGATAGAGGCTCCAAAGTACACAAAATCTTTTAAATAAGCGCTCGGTTGGATTTTAAGTATTACTCATCGGATGTGGCCACATTCCGCATTTTATAAAACTAGTAGTTGTGCATTTAAGGCCGGGCAATTATACTAGTATAGGTGTGTCATCAAGGTTTATTACCGACTAAATTGCCCTCCACAATTGTAAAACATTTCTAAACTTATATTCAAGGTACAGTTCACCAGGGTCTCGAAAAGAAGTTAGTAAAAGCTTTTGTTTATGAAGTTGTTCACACATAGTCACGAGTTGTACCAGTTTCAGAGCTCTCTTTTTACATACATATTTCTCACGATATCTAGATTTTCATATCTCTATTATTCAAGCCGTGTTCAAAGCTTATAATTGACGTCACAAATCTTGTGAATCATTAAGTTCTGTAATTTCAAATGTATCACAACTCACGATGGTGTGAGATCTATTTATAGAAAATCATCAGATACGTTATGGGTACAACATCTGCATTTTCCAGTCCCCCAACCACCTCCAAAAGTGTTTCATATGGAATAAAAGAACTCTAACTTATGGGTGTTTCCAATAACAGACGTCTGTGCAGATACAATTTGGGTCAAATTAATAACACTGATAATTCCAATTGTTTTCTAAAGGATTTCGAAATATTGATAATTAACAGATTATCCCACACTTAAATAAATCAGAAAAATATTTTTGTAATATATATTATTTTATTTTCTATTTTTCTTCTAATTTGAGTTATTAAAAATGTGATTCTTAGAGAACATAATAAAAATAAAACTAAATACTATTATCTTGACTTTGGCTGTATACCATACGTATAACAACCGGTTTTAGCTTTGGCCAAAACATTTTTGTTTGTTTATAGCTTGACTGCAGAGGCGTCCGTAGTTGTTTCTGTTTTTTTTTGGGTGGCCTGTTTGCAGCGTCGCCACGTCAAGTCTTTTATAATGCTTTTTTCAGCTGCCTTTTGTTGACTTTCTACTTTGGCGGCAGCATAGAAAGGCAAACATATTTTCGTGTGTAGTTGAGATACTAATTCAGGAGCGATCAGAAATTTCAATCAATTTATCATAAAGTCATTTGGCCCTATTGATTTTGGTGATTATGTGGGCTTGTGGGGAAATCCCTCGAGATAGTGTTGTACTTGACAACTGAAGTGGGCAGGCCTAGAACGAAAAGTTGGGAGTGGACTGAGAAAGACATTTCCCTGAAGCTTTCTCTTGGCCACAAACGAGCCGTGCCCGATGTTTTTCAAAGCAGAACGCAATGAGCTCATCCGTTTATAAGGCCATTTCGTGTGGGTTCGGTCTGGCCTATCACGAAACAACCTGAAAAAGCTATTTGGTTATCAGACGCACCCGGTTTCAGAGTTCCACCTCCTGCCAAAAGAAAAGTGGTAACTTTCACTTTCCTCGGTAGTACGTTGAACTTGGCTTGGGCCCATTCCGAAACAACAACTATGAAAACATCTGGGTAAATAAACTAGGGAAGAAAATCAATGGGAAAAAGTGTTTTTTTTTAGCCAAGCGTCAGGCTGGCTACGGGGCGTATACTTAATGCGAGGGTTTTACGATGTTGATGATGTCACCAGGCAGGGCCCGAAAATAAAGGCCGGCTTTTTAGCTCGGGGGGCCATATAGTAGCTGACGTCACAGGGGGTTAATAATCTATCACGTTTTTTGGTTACTAGCAATCACTGAGCTATTATTCATTATGATTTTTCACTTCCTACTTACAGATTTACCACAAAAACCAAAATCAAAATGAGTTCCGCTGAGTACTACCCTTTCAAGGTAAGTTTACAATTTATTGTTTTAGGGAATAAAAGAGCTGTAGATTTATTAAAGTCAATTATTTCATTTAATTAAGCTCGTTAATACAGCCACAGCCAAGCAGTTTATAAAAAAAACTCACTAGATATATTGAAACTTAATTACAGCTGATTTACAATTACAGAACAACTGAATTGATTAGACTAGATTTTTAAAGTACTTGCTTATTTTAACGTCTAAAACTCTAAGGAGGGCATTTTATTTCTGTTTATCTCAAAAAATTATATGGTCGGCGAGATTGCCGTAGCTTTGAAAATTCTCGAAGCAAAATTCAGCATCTATTCTATCTGCATACACCAACCAAATACTAAGTAATTAGCTATAATTGTGCTATTAAGTGTCCATCAAATGGTGTACAGTATAGTAGATAATTGTTGAAAAACAAGTACTGGCTGATGGGAAAGAGAGTGATAAGAAAGCTATATATGTGTATGTTTGAGTGCATAAAAAAAAATAAAATACCATCATAAAATTATGCAAAAAACCCAGATAACAAAGAGAAACAACTATATACATATTCTAGGAATACCGCAGGGTAATATTGAGTCACAGCAGTGACACCCTTATTGGGATTACGTGCTTTGCATTAAAATAAACCATATTATTCACGCTTGTACACTTATTACTCACATACTGATTGGTTTGTGTTTGCCATTTGATTTTGCAGTGCACACCCACCGTCTACCCTGCGGATCCCTTCGATCCCGTCGAGGATGCGGCCATCCTGCGCAAGGCAATGAAGGGCTTCGGCACCGACGAGAAGGCCATCATCGAGATCCTGGCCAGGCGTGGCATCGTCCAGCGTTTGGAGATCGCCGAGGCCTTCAAGACCTCGTACGGCAAGGACCTGATCTCGGACCTGAAGTCCGAGCTGGGTGGCAAGTTCGAGGATGTGATCATGGCGCTGATGACGCCACTGCCCCAGTTTTATGCCCAGGAGCTGAACGACGCCATCTCGGGTCTGGGAACCGACGAGGAGGCCATCATTGAGATCCTCTGCACGTTGTCCAACTATGGCATCAAGACCATTGCCCAGTTCTACGAGCAGAGCTTCGGCAAGCCCCTGGAATCCGATCTGAAGGGCGACACCAGTGGCCACTTCAAGCGACTGTGCGTATCCTTGGTGCAGGGCAACAGGGACGAGAACCAGGGTGTGGATGAGGCAGCGGCCATCGCCGATGCCCAGGCTCTCCACGACGCCGGCGAGGGACAGTGGGGCACCGACGAGTCCACCTTCAACTCGATCCTGATTACCCGCTCCTACCAGCAGCTGCGCCAGATCTTCTTGGAGTACGAGAACCTGTCCGGCAACGACATCGAGAAGGCCATCAAAAGGGAGTTCAGCGGCTCCGTGGAGAAGGGTTTCTTGGCCATCGGTATGTTATAAGCTCATAAGATTATTGCCCCATTGCAATTCCCTTCTAATTTATATTTTCTCCTTCAGTCAAGTGCTGCAAGTCTAAGATCGATTACTTCTCGGAGCGGCTCCACGACTCGATGGCCGGCTTGGGCACCAAGGACAAAACTCTGATCCGGATCATCGTGAGCCGCTCGGAGATCGATCTGGGTGACATCAAGGAGGCATTCCAGAACAAGTACGGCAAGAGCTTGGAGTCCTGGATCAAGGTAAATACATATTTCAGTTGCTTATTTGTGTGTGCCCAAGAATTATTCACTTTGCACCCTACTTTAATACCACTAACTCGCATTCGAATGTCTTGTGCAATAACAATAATTTTAATCAACCAATCATCAAGCTGGCTTTTCCTGTTGTTGTTTCTTTTTCCCACACTTTATGGTCGAATTTTGATGCCATTATCCTTTCCCGCCCGATTACTTCATTTGTGTGCATAAAACATTAAAACTTGGCATATTCTATATATTTTTAGGGCGATACATCCGGCGATTATAAGCGTGCCCTATTGGCTATTGTTGGCTACTAAAATAGAAATCCCAATCCGACATAAACTTGTCTCTTTCATCTGTTCCACGCCCTAAACTATATGCATAACCAAATGTACAAACGAAATTCAGATATCGAATAGTTGACAATGTATAAATTTTAAACTGGAACAAGTTTTAGCGAAGACGAGGCCACTCAGTGCATTTAAAGTCGTAGAATCAGAATCCCCAGTTCGCATCCTGTTAATTATTATAATTATTGTGACTATTATTATTATGACTATGCACGCCACATGCACATAACTGTATCTCTTTATTTACTACACCTAAGCCTATATACATTGCTATGTAGCTTATAATTTCCGTTTTTTCGAGTCTCATTTGATATATATTTACATTTAAAAAACGCAACAAAATAAAAAATATGACAAAAAATAAAAACAAAATTCAAAATGGTTTTCTGTTACCGTTACCAGAGGTAGCTACACTGCTTGTCATGTAGATAACAGCGCTACATTGGGCGCTTAACTTCATAACATTAAATAGGTCGATGGTTTAATTAATACAAAAATTATGTGAAATTGGTCTAAAATAACAGCTTTTTACTGGTTATAAGAACTTGATCAGCAATAAAATATGCACAGAATCGGGATTTATATTAATCGTGCCTTAAATTAGTTGCACTGCTTGCTTAAGTATATGTCCATTGAATGTAAATATTATGTAAAGTAGCACTTCAAATATGTAGAGCTTAAAACTGAACATAGAAGAAAGATACAAGATAAATCTATTTGCTGATCAATTACTTATACAGTAGTTAATTGTTCCTTGATCAATTTTAATAAACCAAATCATAACCCTAATCCTAAAATGAAAAGCTTCCGGGTATTAATCAATGCATAAGCCATGTATACAAAGTAAAATGAGTTTAATGCCCTGACCCTCTGCTCTTTTCACGCTTTATCTCTACCGTTAACCCCAATCAATCAACAACAGGAGGATGCCGAGACCGATATTGGATATGTTTTGGTCACTCTTACCGCTTGGTAGATGGATGCATCCAGAATAAATAAGCAATATTCCCCACTGCTTAAGTAGAAAACGCCAAAAAATCAAAACGAATATAATTGCATTTCCCAAAAGAAAAGCGGAGAACAAATGAAATTATCAAAATATATTGTGTTCTAAAAAAAACATTTAGTATTTACCCCCTGTGCAGTAACGTCTAACGTCCAAGTCGATGTGTTTGACAAAGATTATTTAACATTTTGACATATTTTATTTTGTATACATGTTTTATTGTAAATTATTTTGCATCGAACTCTTATGTTTGTGCTTGTATTAACTAATAAAGTTGGCTTACATTCAACGGCAAAACTGGGTCAGACTCACCATCCTCCTCCCCTCTTGATCTCGTTTGCAGGACGACCTCTCCGGCGACTACAGCTACGTGTTGCAGTGCCTGGCCTCCTACTAAGGATTTCCTCATCGCCGAAGCATTTCACATCGCTCAGCCATTCTATTTGTTGTAACTTTTATCTTAATGCAAACCTCGTTTGCTAATTTTTTCGTGGAAGATTCATAGCCTATATTCAATTCATAAATGCATTATATTATAAAATCATGGAAACGAATTTGGAAGTTTTTCACTTAACTAGGATAACCGAAACCGTGGAAATGGGTGAATGGGGAATATTTGTTTAGGGGGAATGCTAGTAGTAGCGTCTACTTGGCTACTCGATCCTGGTAGGCTGCCCACAGGCGATCGCGGTAGGTCTGGGCCGCCTGCTCCGGATTAGTGGCTTTCAGGATTCCCCTGCCCACCACGCCGATGTCAGCTCCTCGTTCCTTCACCACACTCTCTGGGCTCTGGTACTGTTGGCCCAGCTGGTCTACGCTCTCGTCGATCTTTACTCCAGGTGTCAGCTGCAAGAGTCCGGGAAAGGCGAAGGCATCGGACGATTGACACACCACACCGGCCACGAAGTCCACATCGGCTCCCTCCGTGGCGATCTTGTTGCTGTTCTCCTTGTACTTGGCATCGATCAGGTTGCCACTGGCCGACATCTCCGACAGCAGGAATACGCCGCGCTCCTTGCTGGCTCCATCCTCGCCAAGGCCCGCCTTCAGACCCTGTAGAATACTGCGTCCTGGTAAAGTGTGGGCCGTCACCAGGTCTGCCCAGCTGGAAATCTTGTAGATGCCCTTGCCGTACTGCAGGGACACCGTGTTGCCAATGTCCGCGAACTTTCGGTCCTCCATCAGAAGGAAGTTGTGGCGCTGGGCCAGAGCCTGCAGGTCGCTAATGAATTTATCGCTAAAGTCCTCGACGATGTCCACGTGCGTCTTCAGCAGGCAGATGTACGGACCGCATTTGTCGGCCACATCCAGAATCTCATCCGCCCGGGTTAGATCGGCGGCCAGGCAGAGGTTCGTCTGCTTGGTGGCCAGCAGGTTGAACAGCCGCTTGGCCACCGGGCTCTTGGCCAAGTTGGCTCGACTCTCGTAGGTCAGTTTAGTGCGCTGCAGGTCGTTGGCTGAGGAATAAGTCAAAATAGATTGGTTACCACTTGAAGAAATTACTAAATGATGGTCCTATCTTATCGCTCTCGTTGCTAACTTTAGTATCAATTATCTACTACCACTTTTGCTTTTTTTTTATGTGAATAGGCATTGCCGATACCTACTCTATATATTTAAATGTTATTCTTTAAAGCTTTCTAGCTTATTATAACATACGCGTTACATATTTCTGGAATGGAAATTTATCTATCACATTTTAAATTTGATTTTCTTTAAGAATAAGCCTTTAACAAAAATTAACTTAATACAAGTTGTATCAGTATGTAGATCGCATCAAACAAAACTTATGGATCTTAAATTAAATATTCAAATTTATTCAAGATCTTTGGAGCTTTTATATATTTTCGAAAGAGAGACCTCAAAATCGATACTGAACAAGAACATGTACTCATAATGGTTATACCTGTAGAATACTCTTAGAAGGGTATAAAAAGACTACGATCATTAATTAAGACAAAACAAGAGTTCGATCACTTTTCGGGTGAAATATTGAAAAGAACCGGTTGTCATACATTTGAAGAAGGCGAAAAAGAACAAATCACCAATGCTTATTTTTAGAGGCAGCCACGAGATGGGCTTGATTTGAGAAGGGGACAGGCCCTCGAGTGGCCTGATAAGCATGGCATAACTGAGTGGAGCACTGTTTGGAATCACGTGCCGCAGTCCCGGGAACTTGATCTGGTCCGAGTGGGGAATCCAGATCGGCTTTCCGCTGTTTATGGCGGTTGTATAACGAAAGCAAATTTACGAACTTTATGACACCGCGACTGGAGCTCCCCTAATTGAATTTAGTTCGAGGCCATGCGCTGCCCGAGTGCCATGTACCCATGTACCCATTATCTAGCTATCTGCTATATATCTAGGGGGATCCGGAGCATACACACCTTTGACCACGTCAGCCTTATCACCGCCGACAAAGGTTCCATCGCTGTTGATTTGGACGGCGGCTATGTACTTGGCCACCGCCTCCACGGTGGACTTCTCAATGCGTCCCGCCTCGTGGAGGGTGTTCAGCAGGAAGGAGAGCGTGAAGAGCGAGTGCATCCTCACTCCGTGCTTGGCAATGTTGGCCACTCCGCCTTGTTCCCGGTTCACGACGACCACGGCGTCGGTGACGACAATGCCCTCGCTCTGCAGATCCCTCACTGTGTCCAGGATGCTGGAGCCGGAGGTGACCACATCCTCGACAATCAGACAGGTGTCCCCAGCATTGAAGATGCCTTCGACAAGCTTCTTGGTGCCATAGGCCTTGGCCTCCTTGCGCCGGACCAGCATCGGAGTACCTTGCTGCACGGACACTATGGTGGCCAGTGGGAGCGCAGTATACGGAACTCCGCACACGTGCTTGGCGGTCAGCTGCTTGTCCTTGATGTGCTCCACCAGGAGGTCGGATACAGTTTGCTGGGGGAGATTGATTATGAGTATTGTGACAACACAGAGAATGGGGTCCCAAATACTAACCATCACATCCGGATAGCTGACGATCACACGCAGGTCAAAGTAAACCGGCGAATTGATGCCCACCTTCATCTTGAAGTCGCCGAACTTAAAGGCATTGATCTCGAACAGCTTCAGGACCAGGGCGCGCAATTTATCCGAATTCTGGGCAACCATGGTGACAATACTCGATTTGTAAACTGTGGACACGTGCTAGCTCAGCTCCAATAAGAACCTTCCAATTGGGAGTCTTACACTTCTTTTAAACATGCTCCCAGTGTGAACGTATGCTGCAAGCGTTATGGTCTTTTTCATTACCACCTAAATTAACTGCTAGTCTGGCAGCTCTGGCTCGGTGGAAAACTTCGCTAACCAACAAGTAAGAAGTTTCGATTTGAAACTAAATCGTTACATTCCATTTAAACGTTAAATCTTCACTATAACCCCATTTTTAAATAAAACAAATATTTTTGTCGCCAGTTTGGCGGGAAAAGTATATGTATTCCTTTTATGGTAAATAAATATAACTTCTATTTATTTTCGTGCACAGATAAATATAATTTGAAGCCCATAATCACCAATACTCTTATCTGCAAAAATACTCTTGTGAATTCATTTTTAAATATTTGAAATCAATTTATGACTATTAGATTGTTTTAGTCCGAAAGACTTTGCTCCACCCACAATCCCCCGCCTTCAACTTTTTGGGGGTGGAGTTGCAGTCTAGTCATCTATCAACCACCAATCGCAGTTCTTAAAATTCAACTACCATTTCAAGGCTAAAGCGCCTGCGTAAGTCAACAAAGTTTCCGCATCAAGTCAAGGCTTTGAAACAATTCCCAGATCCTTTGGTCCAAAGTGTTTCCAAAATTTAGTTTCTTTTCGCTGGCCCCCAACTAAGTCGCAGATTTCTGCTCGAAAGCAGAAACTTCATTGTGCAATTATCGGTTTTAATTGAATCTATTGTTCGGCTTCACGAATGGAAAGTGTTAGTGCTGAACCTGTTGGTGAAGTGGCTGCAAAGCGTCCTCGACTGGCGGGCTCTTCCAAGGGCTCCAAAATAGTTGAGCCCCAACTGGCCAAGGTCGCCAATCGGGTGCCCAAATGTGCCCGCTGTCGCAACCATGGGATTATTTCGGAGCTACGAGGACACAAGAAGCTCTGCACCTACAAGAACTGCAAGTGCGCCAAGTGCGTCCTGATCTTCGAGAGGCAACGCATCATGGCCGCTCAGGTGAGTTTTAGTTATTTTATAGAAATCTATATAATGATTTTTTGGGCTGTAAAATAATAAAGATGCAAATAAGTTCCTAAACAAAAATATTTTTTTATTTCAGTATGCTTTATTTAAAATTATCCTTTCATATTTAATCTTAAATAATACTTATGTTTGATTTAAAACATTTCTTAAAGTGATATTTTATTGGTACTATTTCTTTTTAATACTTTAACTGACAACGTTTTTGTATTAAATAACAACAAAGTAAAAAAATTTTGTAATATTGTGGGTATTTTCCTCATTTATCAAACAAACAAAGAATTTTAAGTCTGCAGATTCCGCCTATTTGCTAAGGCTTTTAATTAAATTATTACATTATTCCCTTTAAGGATAGTTTAATTAGAAGTCTGCCTGCTTTATTGACTAGTTGTATCCAGGATCTAATACGTAGGCCACCCCATCCTGATTCAATCAATCTGTGTAACTGAATTCAATTGCCAGCTTCCTAAGAAAAATAGTTAGCTATGCCATTTATATTGTCTTTAGATTAAGCGCTGGCCAAGCGCTCAATTCGAAACACAAATAACCGGTGGGCAGAGAACCCCAGAAATCCGCTCAAGCCCCACTCCAATCCCAATCCAAAGTTGAACAGCCAATGAAACGGAATACGGGAAACGGATTCAGGCAGGACAACCAGTCCGGTGCTCCCTCCCCTTCGGTGATGATGATGATGGAAAGTTGTCAAAGCGTAGGAACAAATCGACCAAAATATCCGCTTACCAAAACTGTTTGCACAAGTGTGGCTCCGTCTCGCATTTCATTAGATCAGCGTGGGCGATACCCCAAGGAATTGCTGTGGTCTTTGTTTGCGGAAAAGTCAAACAGCAGCAGCAGACGGAGATGTTCACTTGTCGCATATTAATTTCCATTGTGGTCTTTCAGGTTGCCCTCAAGCGTCAGCAAGCGGTGGAGGATGTGATTGCTATGCGCTTGGTGGCCAACAAAACGGGCCGATCCATCGATGTCCTGCCGCCGGGCAACATCTTTGGTCTGACCGTGACCCAGCCCAGTTCGCCGCATCCTAGGAGGGAGGATGACCAGCCGGAGAAGCCTCTGTCGGAGGAGCAGAAGCAGCTGGCTCCGCCGAAGGAGGAGGAGTACAACGAACCACCGGCGGTGGCCCAGGATCTCAGTGCTCCCCGGCGGGATAACGTCTCCCAAACGGCCATCGACATGCTGGCCCAGCTCTTTCCCCAGCGAAAGCGATCTGTCCTGGAACTGGTCCTCAAGCGCTGCGATCTCGACCTGATCCGGGCCATTGAGAACGTCTCGCCCACGGGCAGAGCCACGCCAGTGGATGTCACCAGCAACCATCAGGAGCCAGGAGTCTTGCCCAGTGTGCCGCAGACCACGCCCCCCAGGAGCAGCGCCTTCAGGCCTGTAATTACTGATCAGGTAAGAGGGCAATCAGGGGTAAATTAATTGACAATTGTAAGACAAGATCTTAAAAAAGTTAACTTCGTCTTAACAACTAGCTGAAATACACTTTTCGGTTTCTATATTTAGATAGTTTCCTGTCCAAAGGATTAAGAACCATTTAAAAAAATGAATACAAAGTATATTCGCACCGTATTTCTTACCCCAATAGGTTCAAAAATATATTTATTCTCCATTTTGATTTGTGTAATTTAATGCAATAAGCTACAATTTAATTTATTTAATATAACCTCCTAGCTGAAATTTTATAAAATTCCTTTGGTTGTATATTTAAAACTGCAATCCAAATAATGTATCCCCTTTCAAGTTTTTTATGTTAATATATTATATACGGGTAATCAATAAATTGTTTTTCTTAGAGCTTGTAAATTCTTACCTTTCAGTACCAGAACAAATCGATGGTGGAGCTGAAGCCGCCGGTGTTTGGAAGCAGTGCGTCGGCGGCGGCTGCCGCCATTTGTGCCTACCCCAAGTGGTTCGTGCCGCTCTCGTTTCCGGTGACCATGGGCCACCTGTCCAACCTGGCACCGCGATGCACCTTGCCCAACTGCGCCTGCCTGGACAGCTACCAGTTCCACTAGGAGCTCCACTATCACAAAACTACCCATAATTCTATTGAAATAAATTTATTTAACCTAACTACATGCTGAACTATCTTATGAGTAAGTGGGCCATCTCCGAGCTTCACTTGGAGGTCTCCTCCGTCTCCTCCTCCTCGTCGTCGTCCTCATCATCCTCGGACAGATACATGCGATCCTCCTCGTCGCTCTGCTGGCCACTCCGGCTCCCACTGCCGAGGTTCAGGACGGGAACGCTGCTACTCGAGGCGGTGGTGGGGGATCCTGCCGAGGCCATTGCTCCCTGGACGGATGCACTGCGCTTGCTGAGATTGGCCCGTCGCCACTTGGCCCGCCGGTTCTGAAACCAGGTCTTCACCTGGCGATCGGTCAGTTTCAATTGGAGCGCCAAGTGTCGCCGTTCCTCCGGTGAGAGATACTTGGAGTTGGCAAAGCGTCCCTCGAGATTTTTTGTCTGCTGGGAGGTGAACCGGATCTGACCGCCCTTCCGCTTCACGCCGAAGTTGGACATGTAGAAGCTGGCCGCCGGATAGGCATTGCAGTAGAGAGCGGCGGCAGCTGAGGCCGGATTTGGAAAGCCTGCAAAGGAAATGGATAAAATGTAAGTAATTGGTTTTGAATAATATTAGGGAGTCTTGGGGAGTACCTAGATAATAACAAAATATGTTACTTTTCTGCCTTACTTACTCAGTTGAACAACATAGATACCAATACCTAGGCATTGATTTTTATTTATACCGAAAAAAATGACATATTTTAATTTAATTTTGTTTTTATAACTTTTTTTATAACTTTTGTATATGTATATGGACAAAAAATTTAACTGGCAGATAAGCGACTTCCGCATATATACTTTATATTTATGTTTCTTTTCAAATATTTCCCTAATCAGACATAAATACCAGTGCGTGAAAAAAATATAAAAATATAGATATGGTGGTCACTTCCTTCGTTTTTTTTTTAAGTACTTTAATTCTAATTCATTATGATTTCAATATGATTGAAATCCTATTAATAAATAAAATGACTGCAGTTTGATTATTTTCTTCTTTCCTTAAGTACTTTAATGCTTTATTATTATGATTTCGATAAAAACATAAAGTATATAATTGAACTATATGAAGGGAAGCATTTGTTTGAATTTGATTGGTGGCTCCTGTGCCCCGATTCCCCATATCTCCGCCCACCAATTCTTATCGAGGTAATCGGACACAATAATGCCGAGTCGTACATGTGCCTGAGTGTTGGGGTATACAGTATATCAGTACCACTATCGGTATCTGGTAAAATGTCAACGCCCACTTGTAAGTGGCTAATGACTTGGTAGCCATTGCGAAATGGATCGACTGAGCGCCGAGATTTCAGATTCCATGGGCAATCCAGCGAAATCAATTGCCCACCCGACAAGCAATCCGATTATGGTACTATATGTATACATTATAAATATATTGATAAGGAAAGAGGAACTTTTTTGTTGACGTAACGGAAATTCGCACTTGTCGAATTACGCTCAATCGACAATGCTGAACTAATCAGATATTTCGGGACCCAGTTACCTCACAAGGGGACCAATCTACAACACAGATTGTAAGAAGCTTTTGCTAAATTTGCTAGCTAAGGTTCGATTGCAGATGTCATAATTTAAATTGTTACAAATAGACTTATTAACTGTTATTTTTATTAAGTGGCGTACCCGGCGATAAGACTCCCATTCTGTACAATCACAAGCTATTTAATCGCTGAAAATTGGATTTGTTATTATTTTATAATGTGCGTGTCCAAAAGAACAAATAAAATCATATCAGCCACTTTTCGATCTTCCGTTCGCAACTTTTTTAGGGCGGTCGAGTGTCGACAACGAACGAGCTTATCGTAATCAAATGGCAATTGTCGCTATAAGATGATGGACAGTGCCTATTAATCGCCTCTAATAGCATTTTTTGTTTTGATAAGCCAAAACAAATCGGAAATCGGGATAGCAATGGAAATGGAGTGGGCTATACGACAGATATTCCTATCTGGATTGTGTTGATCAATGAAATACCAAACTAGTCAATGCTCTACGAGTTTAAAGGAGAATCGATTAAACGTATAGTATTACAGGAATGTATAATGAGAAAATCCAAAAAATACTGAAAGATATTAAAAATGTTTCCCACAGTAAAGTTTATGTGAAGGATTTAACTTGAGCTGACACAACAGTAATCCCTTTTAAATAGGGTCAAAATTTAGCTTAGTTTTCCACTGCTTTCGTATACCTTTCGCTTAGCTACTCACCTCAATTTCAAATATTTGTCGTTTTGATAAGGCCACCGAAAATATTTTGTGGGTTTTCCGAATGAAGGGATGGAACTGGGTCTGTGACGTTATCAGCATTACGTATTTTCCTGCCTGATTTTCGGGGGCTAATCTACCGTTACATTGCATTGAGGGAATGCAGTTTGTGGGGGGAAAGTGAGATTTGAAGTGGCATTGGCGCCAACACTTGACTTTGACAAACACCAAACTACACACACACATTAATCATGTTTATGGCCCATTTTGTGTGGGATCCCCATTGTAATATCTGTTGGTTCGGACACTTTGGACTTAGGCTAGTTAGGACTGTATTTAAATGAGGATTTCATGGAGGACCATTCCCATATTCGATCAATTACCATGTGTCTGTTTGATGGACGAGATTAAGGTTTCAGCATAGAGAGGTTCAATGACTTGAACTTGGAACTGTCGAAAAGGGTAAGTTTTTAATCCTTTCGTTGTGGTTTAAACTGTGAGAAAGTCGTATAAGTTATAGTCATGGTGTACATTTTCTGTAATCTTATAAGGTTTCAGACATTTAGCTTTTTCTTTGAGGAATTAACATATTATTTCTATAGATATGATTGTTCCTGCGTTTATCAGCATTTTAGTTTTTAATTGATAATTGTTGCGCTCATTAATTCATAATACCAGATACGCAACTTGTGACTCATTTCCGGACTGTTTTTTAATAACTATGATGAAATGGTAATGAAATATATATTTTTTAAAAGAGTAAACAAATTTTCAAGTAAAGAAAGCTTTTAATTTCTACTCAATGGACTATTGATATGTATTGATACAACATTTTGTATAACTTTATCTGAAATATGGTATGATCTAATGAAGACTCTGGAGTAAATAGAATTCTGTTTTTGTTCTTATAAACCTTCAAATTGTCTTAGACAGAAGACATTTATATTATTACTATTAATAATGTACCTTTACTTGATGTTAAATAATTGTCTACTGTTGGAACTAAATCGAAATTTTGTAAGTTATATCTTTTAGTAAGATATACAAAAAGTATATATAAAAAGTATAAGCTTTAAAACGTATCACACCTATTTCTTTAACCAAAATTGTTCCTATTATAAATTAAGCCCATCGAATAAAAATATTTAATTTAAGTTGCAAACTAATCCCTTGAATATACCAATATTGTGGGTAACTAACCTTCGCAGTCCATGGCGAAAGGACTGTATTGATCACAGTAGGCTGTTGGCTGGACGGCGGCTGCGGCGGCCACTGCGGCTGCTTGGAAGTGGGGCATGAAGAGCGAGGGATTCTTCTGGAGGTTGAGCACCTGCTGGTAGAACAACGAGGCGGGATCCGGATAGATCGGATTGAAACGTAACGAGGTGGGTGCCAGCACCGTGCTAGAGTCCATATTCTTAAGGGCATACTGGGCGGCGGCTGCCTCGCGGGACAGATCATAGATATTGGAAGTGGAGGCGGGTAGGGCGATGGATGAGCTGGTGGCCAGGGCTGCCTTGGGCATGGCCAATGCAGGTGGCGAAGGTATTCCTGCTGTCCCAGCCACAGGACTTTGGGAGGAGCCCCGTCGCGACTGAGATCGATGGGGTGTCTCGATGGGCGGACTCCGTGCCGTTCTTGTCTTTTGCTCCAAGATATTCTCAATGGAGAAGGCGGCCTTGCTCGACTTGGTACCGATATCCATATTGGTTTCTCCGAGTGGCAGAATTGATCACCGTATAAGCGTTAACGAATCGTTTCCGGAGCGATCGAATCGACTGCGTTGGCCGCAGGCGGTGAACTAATGGCGACCGGCTGAAGAAGTCGACTGTAGAGCCCAGGGCGCAATAAATTGTACCAAATCTGATTTCACAGAATATAATAGATTGTACCTATAATGTTGTGCTAATGGGTAGATATCAATATTAACAATAATAGAGCGGTATGTAGATATGCCGCGCCCGGTAGATAATGCCGGGCTACCGGCCATCGATTGATAAGCGAGTGGTGGTTGGTGGGCGCTCCAGTGGCTCGATGGCACTCCACTCCACTCGATTTCGATTTCCAATTGCAGACGACGACAGCTCGACATCGGTAGTCTCTGTGGCCCGGACACCCAATCGGCGATCCGATCCCGGCCGTCGTATAAATCACGGTTCCTCGGGCGCTTATTGAGCTGCCATACACACCAAAACACACCACCCACCACCCACCGCCCCACTCGGCGGGTCGGTGCTTTTGATCGAGTAATTGTTAATCACCCCTTATCGGTATCGTTACCTGGTTTCGGCTCTCGACTCTCACCTACTGTTCAGTTATTATATTCTGTTGATTGTTGTTGTAAACAAATTAAAATTACCAATCTCTCCTCTCTCTCTTTCTTGCTTTATTAGCCCTCCCCCCTCCCCCTCCCCCTTCTGGGAGGTGTCCTTCCCTTCGGAAGATATCGCTTTGATTGAGTAATCGAGTTTGTGCTATGATTTCTGCTTTTACGGGAACAATTTATGCGTTTGTATAACTGTGGTTGTGAATAGGTATTTCGGGGGTGTCTTATCAGTTGTACTCGGGCTCCTCGTAAAGCCTCACAGATGATGGATTACTTCTGATTTCGGCCTTTGGGTTGGGTGATAAAAAAAGCAGAGCCCATAAATGCGTTCAATTGTTGTTGTTATTGTTGCTGATTCAACAACATTACCCGATAGATACCTCTCTGATATTGTTTTCCAGGTCGCCCCCAAAAATTTGTATCTTTGAGATAAGTTTTGGGTTCGAACGTTTTTTGGGGAACAATGGAAATCTTCAGTTTCGACTTGTGGAGAAATTTTTATTTTCATTTCACACGATAACTCTTTATAGCAATTGAAAGTTCAATATGCAATACTCTATAATGGGAACTATTACCAATTCGTTATATTTTGATGATTTAACTAATAAATGACTCAATTTGACTCATGTGATTTGGGCCAATAAACATATTCATTTTGATAGGGTTCTATGAAAAGTGATACACCGAATTGTACCTACAGGTTTTTTTTTGGGGTTTTTCGTGAACAAGACTGTAAAATATAGTCAATCGATTGCCGATTAAAACTTTATGACTCCTGAAAATAGCAAAAGTCATATATAAATTTAGCCAGCATCTTAAAAGTGAAGACATGAATAAATAAAAATCATCTTACCTTTTTTGGAAAGCCACCTGGTAATATTCAGGGAGTTCTAAAAACACACTGTATAAAGTAAAAAATAAGAACACTAGACTTCACAATTTTTTAAAAATGTATATCTAAAAGACATTTGTATAAGAAAATCGTATTATTGTTTCAAATAATAAGCGAAATACCCCAATACAATTTTTTAAGTCTCCTGGTTTAGAAAGAGATCAAAAATTGTTTCAGAGAAACCATACTCCCCAGTGCAGTTGTAAGCCCCGGATATAAAACTTCACCGCTTCATCATGAGCAGACACTTGTTCTCTGCTATCAGACAGTCAGTTGTGTAATCCCCGACCAAATCCCGCCGATCGACAAGATATAACATTTTGCACCCGGCCTGACGGCCATTTTGTGACATATCACAAGGTGAGTATTCAAATTTATCAATATGTGAATGGTTCGAATGGGGGTGTTGTGCTGGGTAAGTGGTCTGCAGGGACCTCTCAATGGTGAGGCAGAAATGGTCATTCAAAAACTATTTTGTACTTTTCACAAAATTAAACCGAAACAATGAATAATGAATAATGAATGGTGATAAAAGTACAAACAACAAATTCTTTTGATGAGAAAAGCATTTTTCGGTGGTTTGCGATAAGTAAATGCGCCCAATTCGAGACATTGACGAGGTCTACTGCCACAAACTACGCTGTTCGATAAGGTGCCATGGCCTGGGGGGCTTATGGTCGTCAAGTGACGCTAAATTATTAGCAATTATCAGGAGACAAACGGTTTGAAATGACTCCGAAATTGGGCATAAATATTCCCCCGCACGCATTAATTATAGCAAAGGAAGAGCAGGCTGAATTTATAATCTTATTATGGACATGTGGATCGATAAGAAAAGGTTGTCTAAATATTTCCCCATTCTGTTTTACATGTATAACTTTATTTGATCACCTTCGAAAGTTGCGGTTTTCAATACATATTTATATATTTTCAGTTGACTTGTTCTCCATGAAATTGCATTGGATTTTAACATTGGTTTGTTAGTTTATTTTGTTTCTTTTATTTATGCAAATGAATAAATATTTTGTATATAGCACTACGTTGGCTGCAAGTAATTAATAAGCAGTTCCATCATTGACCTCTTATTGCATTTGATTCACATATCTATCTCGATTCTCCTTCTTGATCTTCCTTTTTCATACAGTTTACATAATAATATATAGAGTTTAATTTAATTTATCGTTAGCTTTATTTAATAACTATTTATAGGCTTCGCAAGAAGTTGTTCAAGGTTTGCTTTGCTTTGCATTATTTGAGAGTTAAGAGTTTCTTTGAGTATTTGCTTGCTTGCTTTGATTTAAATTCCATTTAAAGAAAAACAACGGTTAAAATGCAAAATAAATTAATTGAACTACAATTTGACACATAACTAGGCATGCACACATTGAGTTTTCAGTTTTGGATTCATCTTTCAGTTATTTTTGGTTTGAAAAAGCACTACGAGTTACAAGTTCTTCGAGTATTTGTGGTTGTTGCCATTGTTCTTAACAAGCTCCTAAACATTACGAAATAAAATTAAATCCATAGACTTTCGGTTTTGGTAGCAATTAGTAAAAAAATTCGAGTAGCAAAACGAGTTAAAGTTAAAGTAGGAGTTAAGATTCATCGCTCTTCATCATAATCTTTTGTATAAATAGAAATTGAGTTTAAGTTAGATTTGGTAGGTAGTAAGTTAGGATAGGTTAATAACGTTTACATATTGGTAGGTTGGTAGGTAGGTAGTTGCTAATTGCGGTTGGCCAACAATCCATTAGACTATTTTGGCCAAATGCGTCGTATCCATGTGCTGGATAAGAGTGCGCATAAAGGACATCTCTTTGCGCGCGTTCTCCAAAATCACTTTGGGATCCTCAGACGTGCAGCGCAGGCAGTTGGGTGCAAACACCATGGCTAGATTTGAGGAGTCCATCTTGGTGCAGCTCACCACATCGGATATGGAAAATTGTTGCAGGAAATGTATTAGATACGTTAGAACCTGAAAACAGACAGACATATTGATTAATTTATATACATAGATGAGTGCTCTTTTTTTTACCAACTTACCAGCTGATTTATTTCGGGCAACTTATTAACTATTTCTTTGGCTTTGTCGGGATCCTCGGTGTTAACGCAATCCTCGTAGTAGGCATCCGGTATGAGCGGATCATAGAGTTCTCGGTACCACAGCTTAAGCAGACTGGCTGGCGCATGTGCATCAACTGAGAATGGGGGTTGAATAACAACATGTTAAGCAGATTCAAATATGTAAGTTAATACTGTAAGTCGTTAGGAGTTTCACCCAGACAAAAAGTATTCTTTTACCCAATGAGTTGTTTAAATCAGGAACATCCCACCGATCCAGGCGATTCTTCATGCAATTGACTTCATCAACATCCGCGGAGACGCGAAAGATTCCCTCAGTCTGCTTTCCATTGAGTAGCAGAACCTGAGAAAATCAAATATAATTTTGGAGATAAAGTTAAACCATATGTTTGACTTAATTAAAGGATAAACCTACATGCTCTGAAAGGGTGGTCTGTATCCAGGGCAGCTTGCGGAATGGAAACTTATCTTTTTGGAGCTCCATTACCTCAGACAGCGTGTTCCCGAACATGCTGTTTCTCAGGATTTGTTGCTGAAAGTTTAGGTTTTAGATATACTGATTGCTCCATACTTTCCGTTTATTTATATTTACCCGCGCCTGTTCCACCTCATCGACGGTGGGTTTTTTGGCCAGACGTCGTCCACTGCTGCCGATGCGATCCAAGCGGCGACAGCACACTGTGGCATAGTGCGAGATCTGCACATGAATGGGCCACTTGCTCACCTCCATGAAACCAGTGGCAAACGAGGGGTCGCGATGACGATTGACATAGCTGCAATGGGAAAAATTCAATTGAAGGAGTTTCGAGAGCATTTAGTTTTAATAATATTTACTTGAGCAGCGTCGGTTGAAACGTGGGCGAAGGAGGTACATAGGACAGACAGATGGCCATCAACTCCCAGCCCCGGATGAGCGATTCTCGCTTGGGATTCTCCGTTGTTTGGCGACATAGCTGAACATACAGCTCATCTCTTAGTCTGTGAAAAAGCATACATTAAATATTATCATAGACTTTTTCCTTGGTGACTTACTGCTGCTGCGGTAAAGATGCACTGATGATTTCTATGGCCACCGAATTTAGAGTCATGCCCATACGCGCCTTGCGATCAGCCATGTAGATCTGCACTAGCTTGAACAGCTCGATTGCCGTCTTCTTGTCTGCCTTGTCTCGGGACAAAGCCAACATGGGCCGGCTTATCGCCTCCGCCGTCCAACTGAGCATGTCGCGCACAGATGCCTTCTTTCGGAAGATCCCCTTAGAGTGCAGATTCAGATTGTCGGCAGCGAACTTTTCGATATCACATTCCTTCATGCAAGCCAACGTGGGTCCACCCAGTCCCATACCTCCCATACCCGGCGCCCGTTCGCTGGGTGGAAAGATCTGCTGGATGGTGGGTTTCAGCGAGGGCGGAGCCATCTTGTGACCAGGCCGAGAAAGACTGGCTAGCGTTACGCTTCCTCCCGCAGCCTGCTGTTGACCGGCAGCGAGACTGTGACCGTGTCCATGGCCGGTCTCTTCTTTGGCTGATGCAGCTGGCACCGATGGTCCTTGGTGACCGGCGCCGGCCAGGCGCGAAATCTGTCGGTTGGGAGAAGGCAGGGTCTGTGACTGCTTCTGTTTGGCGTCGCTCGGTTCCAGGTGCAGCTGCTGTTGGTGAGGCAGTGCCGGTGGCGGAACGTGATGACCATGGCCATGCCCGGAAAAGGGCGGCGTATTGGAGTAAAGCTGCTGACCATGATAGCCGCTGCCGGCTGAGGGACTATGAGATACGGTATCGTAGTAAGAACTCTGGTAACGGGGCTTTGGCTTAGGAACGGTGGCGGTTGGCGCCGAAGGTTCCATCACATTGCCGCCAATCCCCTCCAGCACAGCCTCCACGTTGTCGGAGCTAACGGATAAATTAGTATCAAAAGAGTACAAAGTAATGATCTATAAATCTTACATGTCTTCCCTTCCGGCGGGATCGTGCGGCGGACACATGTACGCATAGTAGGAGACGCTGTCACCCATATTGGCGTAGTCGTCAATCATGCCGTAGTTGTGCTCCAGATACCCGCCATGTGTATCAGATCCCCCGTCAGAGTCCTCGTTGTCCGGCTCGTGGCCTGAAAGTGAGTGCTCCGATTGGCTGTCCGAATGGTACGAATCCGAATCGCCGCCATCGCCACCACGGTACTCGTAGCGACCAGACAGCTTGGCCTGCTCGATAATGTAGTGCTTGAGGGGCAACAGGTGGGACATCTCCTTGTCCCAGTTAGTATACAGGGGCGATATATTCCCATTGTCGTACTCAACATCGCTGTCAGGGTGCTGCTGGTACTGATGCTGTTTTGAGCGCCGCTTTTCGCCGCCTGCTCCGCCTCTTCCATCACCACTGCCTCCTCCCACATGGTAGCCACGTTTGTCCAGACTGGAACTAGCACTATGCCGCAAAGAACTCTGCCCGGGGTAATGATGCGACTGCGAACGATTCGCGGTGGAGTTGTTGGACTTCTGACGCTGGCGGGCAGAGTCGTTGGAGCCGCGAGATGAGTGCGTCAGCAGGCCAATGTTCTCTGTACCACCACCCGGCGAGATGGGTCCCGCCTTGCCCAGTGAGATCCTTTCCAGACTCAGGAAATCAATGCTGTGACTCGGCTCCTGCAGTCGTGGAGAATGTTGCAACTGGGGCAGAGCACTGGTGGCACTCGTCTTAGCCTGGCGCGAGCTCTTCGTCTGCGGACTGATCGGACTCTGCGGACTTGAGTCGCTCGAGTGCTTTTTATGGCTGCTGCTGCCGCTGCCCGCCGTGCTAGTGGCTGTGTTGCTGCCACTTGCCCCACCTCCACCCGGTCCTCCTCCACTTTTGGTGGCATTAGTGGTGTGACGGCGGCGAGAGAGCGGTGTGTTTTCCACCGACTTGAAGTATTTCTCGTGCATGGAGTCATCGCTGGCGGCACCTCCGTTCGCTGCTTCAGCGCTGCTCTTGCGGTAGGATTTGCTGTGATGACCGGCGGCGGCGGGATTAATGGATGAGGACATGAAACTGCCCGAGCGGGCCAGCGACACCTTGTACTCGCGATCTACAGAGGTATAAACAAATTTATAAATATGATATTTTGTATAATGGGGCCATATATTACGTTTGGCTGCATTACAAATCTAGATTGGCTTTGAGCAATTAAGTGGGCTATTATTCAATGAGAAGAGGGTTCAATAAACAAATTTTAGTGTTTTTGGATTTAACTTTAACGTTCTAATAAAAAAATACTTTGCCAATAAAATGTTTGCACTGAAATTTTTTGTATACGAAACAAGAGAGTCTTTTTCCTTCGGAAGAATTTTACAATAAGCCAACATGTTTTCTAAATCAAACTTATTAATACTATTAATGGCCATTTCGCTATTTTCGAAATATTAGTAACTTAATATCCTGACAGCTTAACAATTTATACAGCAAGGTTCACTGCTCTTACCGCCTCCGTAGGACTTGGCCACTGGTACTCCGCCGCCACCACTTCCTCCGCCACTTCGTTGTGCGTTCCTTTGCTGATGTTGCTGTTGTGCGTAGTTGAATTGGGCAGCGGGCGCTGCATCCGGCGACATCTTCTTCTTCTGCGATTGAGGCGTGTGAATAGAGTGCGTGGGCGAGGCGATGTCCGACGACTTGGAGGAGTAGCCCTGCAGGTGGTTGGGCAGCAGCTGATGATCAAAATACTTGTCCCCATAGCCACTGCCACCGGCGTAGGATGAGGATGTGGAGGTGCTGCCATGCGGTAAATTATGCGAACTGGTGCTCTCTTGCAACATCTCAAAACTGGAGGTAATCCGTAACCCAAGCGCAAGCGAAGATGAAGATGGAAATGGGGGTATAAAAGCGATTTAAAGCGAATGATTTGATGAAAGCCAAACCTCAACTACTTACGCTCCATTATCCTTGCCACTGCCCCGCTGATGCTTCTGCAGGGACCCCAGGCGCAGGCTATCCGGATGTCCTGACCCCGGAACGCCGCCGTCATTGAAGCGCCTATAGCCATGCGCACTGGACAGACTCGAGTCGCTGGACTTGCCCGATTCCTTGTACTGATTGCAGGAGTCTGCCAAGAAAAAACGGTGTCAAGATGAGTCATTCGAGTAGGGGTTAAGCACTCACCTTGCGAACGCCTTGAGGCATAGCCCTGTGGATGCTGCTGCATTTCCATCGAGCGGGATGACTCACCCGTGCCAACGCTGCAAAAGAGGCCCGAAATGGAATGTAAACAATTGGGAGATGTAAACAAAAGTGGGAGCAGGCCCCAAATGGGGTTACTCAACTCAACGCAAGTCTACTCACCGAAAGCTTTGACGGCCACGTGGACTAGAGATCACTTCGCTGCTGGTTAGCTTCTCCTCGGAGCTGGCCACCATACCATTGCCTCCACTGATCCGCTGCTGGCCACGTCCCTTTTTGTTTGGCCCCGACATGGGTGAGGGTTGTTGCTGCTGCTGGGGAGGATGTTGCACCTGCTGCTGTTGCTGCACCTGCTGTTGCTTTTGGGGCGTTGTCTGCTCACGACGCTCGCTGGGATCGGTGTTCTGCTTGAGCGTCTGCAGCTTGGCCAGCGGAATGATGTCGCACTTGCTCGGCCGGTGCCACACGGTCTTCTGCGTGGCCGCATTGTAGTAGTAGAATCGCTGGGTATTCGTATCAAACAGTTCCCACCACTGCGATGAGTCGGTCCGCTTAATTGGCACATCCTGTAAAGCGAGAACGGAACGGGAATGAGTTACGGATTGAGGCCGGGAACGAGAACAGAACGCGGTACGCGTGGCAAAATTAGTTTGCATCGTTGTCATCATATCGGAGAGAGTACTCATGTGAGTGGGAGAGTGTGGAGGTGGAAATGGGGATAGGGGTCGGGAAAAGGGAAGCACGTGGGCCGTGAGATCAACGTGCGTTTATTAGATAAACACTCATGAATATAAATATGCCCTAAAGTCAAGTTAAAGGTGATCGATTAATATTTCCAAACCGGATATTCTTCCACCTGTTTATGTAGACCTGGTACCATAAGAAGTGATTTCCTTCAGATGTGATTTACTCATTTCCACGGATTCAGCTGATCGAATTACTTCCTATCACTGACTTTTTTATTGCTTTCATAAAACATAAATAAGCGATTAACAAGGAACGTTTACATTAGTAACAATTGATCTAAAGACATTATGGCTATTTGTATAAGCTTTATTCAGCACTTGCATCTTCATAAAACAACCTTTAAGTTCGAGGTTACCGCAGTAAGAGTTTTTAACAAGAAGTACAATATCGAGCTGCAAGACAAAACATCAGTGTTCTGTTATAAATAATAGTCATAAGTAATTTTTAAATTACATTATTACAAATGATTATTCACTGATATTAAATATTTTTATATTTTCATAAATTCTCTGAAAAGTCCAAATGTATTGCACATATTTGAAAAGCATACCAATTTCGGCACGTTTTAACGTCTGCCTCATAAACGTAGTTTCATCAGAAATGACACCGGACCCAATGACATTCATCTCTGGCTTTGGCAATGATAAGTTTTCATTCCGCTTAAGCTTCAGAGGCCCTATTGTAGCTGTTGTTGTGGCTCTGGCTTTTATCCCTCCTCTTGAATTATCCAACAATTACACAAAAGCTGATTTATTTTCGTATCTCAGCTCAAGAGCTTTTCTTCGGGCTTAATCAGCAAACTCGAGCGCACAAAGAGTGCGACTGAGTGTGTATGTTTATAATCTGAATCTGAAGGGTTCTATCTGCTGAGTAAATACAACAAGTGCTTGACAAACAGGGATTCTCGATGGTCCCTCGATTGCATTGGCTACCGTGCCCCGTTCCCTCTTCAGTGATTTCCTACCTAAGGTACGAGGTACAATGCATTATTGTAATTTATGTGCATATACATAAAAGGTAAAGTTTCCCAGGTCACATGATAAAGTCAATACCCGGTTTCTTAACGACTTTCTTAAATATTTGCAGTCAATACAATTTAAATATATAAAATCGGTCTTATTAAGTTTTAATTCTAATATAGAACGGTGTTCTGTTTTATTCCCAATTTGGTGGTAGAGTTCTTTTTAATCCTTTAAATGGGCTTATGATAAATTAAAGAATTTAATATTCCTCATATCTAGGTACAACTATTTGTGTACTCTCCATCTCTGAATTAATCCTCCCAGATGGCCTTGTTGGCGTGGCGTGTGTGCTTAATCCGCTCCATCTCGCTCACTCCGTGCTCCCTATCTCTGTCTCGCCCAGAAGTCAGGGTTATTTCTGCAAACTGCATGCAGTAAGAGCAGCAGCTGCAGCAACAGCAGCAGCAGCATCAGCGTTGACCTTGAACTTTTGCGCTGCAGATGCCCATAGCCGACGACTGGAGACCCCAGCTTCAGTTGCAAGTGCCAGGGCCAGTTGGGTGGTGGGTGAGTGGGGCGTAACCCACGCCCCCTTTTAATCCGCTGCCTGCAGGCTGTTGTTGCTTTGCTTTTGTGGTTGCAACTGGCCACTAGTAGCAACAACAATGCCAACCCCGCCTCCCAACGCCCATTGCGCCCCGCTGCAAATGAAAGCTTTCGGCTTGGCTGCTTTTCATTTCTGGTTTTCATTTCAATTTCCAAGCGGCGCCCCCGATTGCGTTGCATGTTGCATAACTTGTGGGCGCGACCAGACGCTGATTGGGAGTAGGAGGGGCTGGGAGCAAGGCCACCCGGCGGAGATGGGCCACTCAGATGCCATGTCGCCTCGTTACGCTTTTTGCATTGTTGCGTTTCCAACTGCCAGTCAGTCAGTCAGTCAGTCACCCAGTCATTCAGTCAGTCATCCAGATAGTCCTCTCCGCCTCCAATGAACTGATTCCCCGCTGCCTCCAGTTAAATGAGATGGACTATAAAAAGACACATCAAGAGACTCGACCTCATTTGTGGCCTTGTACAAAATTCCAAATATTATTTGTAATTATGGAATGTGAACAACAACAGGAGGGAGGTTTGGGCTAGTTTGGCCTACATCTTAATCAAAAATCTGACAACTGAAATTTTGCTCATTGTATTTATTTGTTGGGAGGTGTGTTATAATCAATTAATTAAATCATTCAAACTTTCATACGGAGAAGTTCCGTTTTCATTTTGAATTGAATTTATATTTGTTAACTCTTTATTTCCAATATACAAGAACACATTTTAATTAATTTTATTATTAAATCCAGTTATTGAATTGTTAAATATATATTCGCTTTTTCTTTTTTTATTTGATTTCGAACATTTTGAAAATAATTTGCAGAATGAAACTGTGAAACTTTGGCATTCAGAATTTGATTAAACAAACCCTCGTTTGTACAGATTTAAGTGTCGGATGTTATGCTTTTGGGGAATATATCATTCAAAGAATGGTTATTCATACTCTTTGATTGAGTGAACATATATGGCATAACATATTCAAATATAAAAATGTGGTGAAAAAAAATGATAAATCAACAGAGCTGGCAATTTGTTTCGGTGATATGATTTTATTGAAACGCCATTAATTTCCCAATTGAGCCGAAGCCTTATATATAGATCGCTCGCATAATGCATTCCATTTCGTTATCTGCCATTCAATTTGCCAACCACACAACATGAGCCATTCGAAGATCTGCGTCTGGCGCTTATTGAAAAACAATTACAACTTTTAATCAGCGGCAAGTGGGTCGATCGAAGTAAAAATGAAGTAAGGCGGCACGCACAAGATTTCTAATTGAGTTGAGTCTTGAGTTCTATGTATACAGAAGATTATGACCGAGGTCAGTTTTTGACCGCTCTACTCTTCCTTTCATCTATGAATCATGCATCGAAAAAACAGCCAAATGATATTGAACGGGCACGGACACACTGAAGTAAAAAAAACAACACGAAATTTGTTGATATTGCCTCAGTAAATTAGGTCATCATCAGAGCGAATTTTAGAGTCGAGAACAGATCCCCAAATAGAACACATGGAGGTGATAACATCGAAACCAACGTGTCTCTTGAAATTCAAATGGAATGTGTCACTAAAATGGGAATGAAAGGAATTGAATTGTTGTTGAATTTAAGCAAACATTGATCTGACTTCGATCTATGGTTTGCCTTCTCACTTTTATCTTCAAATAAGCACAATCCACAATAACTTTTCCCAGACGATAACAATAACAATTAAAGAGCCCGATTTATAGATACGGCATCGCCTTTATCGATGAGATGGGCACATGTTTCACATTCCCGCGAGGGAATTGGAATGCAGATCGTTGTAAAATCCAATTCAGATGCTTATTTATAGATCAGCGAGGAGTGAAAGAGCCTAGTTTAAGGCTTATTTATGGTATGGTTTCTATTTCTCCGTCATAGTTCACCGACACAATAATTTAATTATTCAATGAAAAAACTGCAACTGCAACTGCACATACTGAGAAATAAGAACTCATAAATCGTGTCCATCTCAAAATCAATATTTTTTATAGAAGTTTTTAAGGCTTAAAGACTCTTTATAAAATATAATTACGCACAGCTCAGAATAAATTTAAGTCTCAAGCTATTAATGTTGCATTAACACCAGACCGTTTCACCCTGAGGGAATTTCAAAATTCTAATATATTTTAGTCTGCAAGAAGCTAAAATAGCTGAAAATCATTAGCAATATTTATGCACATTTAATTGACTTGGTAATTGCTTTTAAATTGTGCCAAGCAAAGCGGAAGAAGTTGATATTCAGCTGTGTATCTGTGTGTAGCCCAAAAGCACACTTTGGCCGCAAAAGACAGGAAACCGAACCTTGCCCAAGAAGGCAATGGTCAATAGCTGGTACGGGATACCTAAAGTCTGAAGTCATAGATAATACATACCCATCAAGTAGGTATATGAATATTGATTTAATGAAACTATGTTACACAGCCAAAGTATATTTATACTTTTTAATTTCAACTATTAAGAAGTTGGCATTAACGATTATCAAACTTCCAAAGAAGTCTGATTTACAAAAATCGTTATATATAAGGCAATTAAGTGACACTAACTATTATGCAATGGCAATACAAAATATTGACCATTCGGTTATAAATGATAATTTAAAGAGTGTACGCTAATAGTATCCATACCGAGGCAAGAAAGAAATATTTTTTTCAAAAACTTTTCTCCTGTGATTAAATTTGATATAGTTTCACTTGCCTAATATTCCCAAAGTAGAATGAGCCACAAAAAGCACAGCAAATATTGAAATATTTTGACGATTGCGTATCACAAGACCCTCCATTGAAGCGAAGAAGGCCCAGATCGAGGGCCGACCGTTTTGGAGGAGGCGCCGCATTTGGTTGCTTGGGGATTGCACCACCCCTTTTGTGGTGGGGATTGGGGCAGCAGTTAAATGACGCCGGCGGACGCACATCCAATGCGCGTCGTCGTCGCCACTCCGGATTCTGGTTCGGCAGTCGAGGTCTTGAGGCGGGTTTCGTAACGTGAAACATGAAACGAGCAATGAACGTGCAACTTGTGGGCAACTTTTCTTTTCTGTTTCTCCCTGCCAACCGGAAGTTTTACAAAGGCAAATGGGCAAAAAAGAGACGAAAAACAGTATGAAAAAGTTGACAAAGCCATCAGGGAGGGGGCGGTAATTTCGAGTTATAATAAAAAGCAAAGAAAAAAGTAGACAGTGTCCCAACTCTGAATAAATTTCAAATCACGTACAATGAACGCAGCAGCGAGATATGTTGTTGTTATTGTTGCTGACACCAAAGGGAACTCGGCTAAAACAAAAAGCTGCAAGTTGGCCAACAAGCAACAAAAAACCAGTACAGAATGTTGCTAATTTAAAGCGAGTTAGAAAAGAGCGAGGGTGGAACAATGATTACGAAAAGGGGTGCACGGCAAGGTGGTGCAATCACCCCATCTTTAATAATGTCTTTTTCACGCCGCCCTGCATAAATTGTTTGGATTATATGGCGCAGTGAAAAGGATTCACTTCCTCATCGCCACGAGGGGAAGCAGCCACAATTGCAGTAGCTGCAATCAGATACAGAATCGAGGGCAGGTTTTTATAGACTTTACATATTTGCTACTGCGGGAAAGAGAAGAATGGAGACGGAAGTGTCGACTTTACGCTGCTAATTCACAATAGATGCTCTGGAATCGCAACGTTAGTGTATTTGAATTTACAAGGTAATACAAATTATACATCAGATTGAGAAATAGTTAAAATACACAAACTAACGGGAATAGTTAGCATTTATAAAATCATTAAAGCTTTTATTTTATTTCAGTACCCAGTCTATTCATACACTACCAGACGTCATTTATTAACTCAATGATAAAGCTGAAAAGAAACTAGTCCGTTGATATTTACCTACATTTCGGTTTTTGGTATCCTCACTTATTTTTTGCTGTTGGCCGAAAGTAATGTTTATGTGGGCGGAGGGGCAGAATGCGGATGACGTAGTCGATGACTCAAACTGAGAGTGAGAGTGTCAAAAACCGAAATGAAATGCACATAAATAAACACTCGAAGAGCGCACAGAGAGAGCGATGGCTTTGCTGCAGTGCCCACTGAGGGGTTAGGGTAATAAGAGGGGGAGAGAGGAAGAAGGGTCGCAGGACCAGTAATAAATCATGGCTTCCAAGCGGACATTACGCCCACCTACACACAACGAAAATTATTGGTCAAATGCGTTCAATATTTATGCGAAACAGTTTTCATAGTTTCAAAATTTTGAATTAGTTAATTCAATTAAAAATATATTATATACTTTAATATCAAATTAACATAATCTACTGAATGAATTATCAATCTTTTTTTAAAAGATGGTTGTTGATATTTACAAAATTCAGTTTGACTGTCGATTTTTTCTGTGTAGCTGCGCATGCAATCCCTTTCATTACAGAAGCAGGACATGCACTCTCTTGCACACCAATACCTATAGCCAACTCCTGGCCATGTGTGTGCAATCAGGAGCGAAACGAGGACACTGCAGGCCAACAACAAAATCAATGAAATTTTCACTACTTCCTTTAGGAAAAGGTAAAAAAAAATCTAAAGGAAAGAAGGGTGGCCTGGTTTGTTCGTCTGGCCGATGTTTGCCTTTCGGCTTCGTCCTGCAGGCGAGACCAAAGTTATTAGCCTGCAACACCTTTTGGCTTTGCCGCATTAGCCAAACAGCATAAAAAATCGGAGAGAAAAAATAAAAGCATTTAAGCAAACAGACATCCAAGCGAATGGGTTTTCTTTAGAGCTTGTCTGAAAAGGAAAAGTTTCGCCTGTAGATAAAAAAATATTTGTTTTGAAGCATGAAAGGCTGCAACATTTCCTCCTTTTACTTGGCTGTTATATCAGAATGCTTATGATGTGCTCATCATTCGACAGTTATTTTAATATAATTAACCTTGGTCACGCCACTTGGCGAAGTGGGTTACGAAAAAATTTGCAAGCCAAACACAAACAAGAAAATTGCGCAAACAAGTGACCCAGAATAGTAATTAAACAACTAGCCGTACAACAAGTTACTCATCTAATCAATTAAGTAACCCCCGCGAGCGTGGTCAATGAACTCCATAAATATGGTAAGATTTTACATTGCTTGAGATGATGAACAGACGACCCTTAAAATCTTATAATACTGAAATTATTAATCTAATCAGACAGAAGAATAAAATAATGAAGAACATAGGAATTTTAAAAGAATATAATTTATTTAAAACCCAAATAATCTTTTTTTTCAACTTTTAATTCAATTTTATAACAAATAGCTTTTTTTAAAAGAATTAAATATCATATTGATTGAACAAATAAGATGGGAAAAAAACATGCAAGTATTCTTAGTTCATATTGTTTATAAATGCATAAGTAAATTTAAGATATGGTATATTGAAGTTCCTGTCTAATTTGGATCGGGCTCCAGATCATTTCAGTTCAGAATTTAAATTTAGAGAAATATGCTGTAGACACTTAAGAAATATGTACTTACTTCTGGTGGATCCCAAACACATTCGCCTGTGGTGAGATTGGCATACATGTGGTCCTTGGTGCGTGGCTCGATGATTTCTACCCATTCTATTCTGCTGGTCCGGAGTAAAGATGAAGATGGAGATCCATCCGGAGAGGGCGAGAAATACACATAAATAAGACATAAAATGCGATTGCTTCTATTTTCGAGCGGCCGACAAAAGTATCTCAGGAATGCCAGCCGAGTTTTTTCGTGTACGTCAAAAGTACCACATACAAAACTTTGTGGAAACACGCCCTCAAAGTGGCAGCAGCAAAAACAACAGTCAAATCCTCTGACAAACAAATGTTTCATTCAATATTTTAAGGCATTCATTCAGAAGGAAACAAAAAGTTTACCAAAATCAGCATTGTGCGTAGTTTCTAAATGTGTGTGATTGCCGGTTGGTTTTCCCCTACTCAATTGGGCTTTTCTCTACGCACACAAACATATTTAGTCAAACATTTTCCGGTTTTTCCTTATTTGAAAATTGCAGTCCTTACACGCACACATTGATACGAATGGGAGTTGGGAGAGAGTAAGTGCGAGAGGGTGTTAGTGACTCTCTGGCCCTCTCTTTTTGGCACATTTGGCGGCCGAAGCTTGTTGCCGCGCCTTGCCAGAAAATCGATTTTGCAGGCGCCTGAGGCCAAACAAAAAAATGCATAAATCAGGAATTTAATCAAGGTAATAGAAAATGCACGGGAGAGTAAAGGTGATTTGCCACCCACCCACGAACGCACTCTCAAGCACACATATATGCGGCTCCTTCTCCTCATCCTCTCTCTCTCCCACGCCCACTCCCTTCGTTGCCACCCACCCATTTGCATTGCATGGAAATTTTCTGCATTCATGACAACAATTTATTTAACAAAAGCATCTGCTGTTTGTTGCTGCTTTTGCTTTCTTAATAAATTGTATACACAATTTCGACATTCGCGTTGTCTGGAGATTGGTGTTGTTGTTGCTGCCGCTGATGATAGTTGTTGTAGTGTAACGGCACACACCTTTCACAACTTGAACTCATTTTTTTCTCTGCTCTTTATTAGGGGGCTGCTGGTTGTTATTGTTGTTGTTGCTGGCGGTTTTCTCTCGCTTTTGTTGTTGTCTCCTTTTGCTATTTCTGCTGCTGCTGCTTCTTCCTCCTTTCCTTACACACACGCACACACCCCGAACGCACTTTATATCTATATGTATATAAATATATATATTTTCTTTCACTTATTTTCGTTTCGGCCGCGGCAGCGAAAATGCAATTTTCTTTTCAATTGATTTTTTTTCTTCACACTCGCACTCCTTTTTCACATGCGTGCAGTTTTTGTTGTTGTTGCTGTGGCTGCCGTTGCAGTGCACTTGAAACACTTTCACAATTATGACATAATTCGCTGGCCATATTTTTGCTTGGCTCTTCGCTTGTGCAACTGCATGTTTCCAGTGGTTATTTAAATATTTATTTTAAATATTTATGCTGCAGTGCGTGCAATTTCGAACGCGAGACGATCCGCTAGAGGTGATGAAACTTCCATGCTGACATCGATGTCATCGATGATTTAACAACATCGGTAATATCGATGTTTGCCAGGGCGTCATCGATGTTTTCCGCCAAAGACATCGATGTCCACATACATTGATGTTTCTTCGCTCTATCCGCCCTTCCTTGTATCTATGGGCTAAGGATGTGCAATAGCCGCTGGTTCCATCGATAATAAGATGGTTAGGGCAGTACCAGCACTTTCAACGGTTTGCGATAGAATTTGTAAAATGTATAGAAGCAGAAATATAGATTAAGATGGAGTGTTGATTTTATACAACAGGGTCCACCGATTGCTTTTAAACATTCTCGTAAAAGCTCAGTACTTTCATTGCTTGCTGTCCCTAGGAAAATATCGATTAGGACCCGCCGTTCATCTCTGCCGGTCTGTATCAGCACTAACAGAAAAACCAAAACAAACATGACCGGAACAGTGTGCCCAGTCATCGAAAGCTTGACAAGTTTAAAATCCGTTAAAAACGGCGCCAATAAAATAAAATTTAAAAACAAGTTTAAAGACAATCGATTATACTTTTCCAATCATAATATAAATAATTTTAATTAAAATGTTTTAAAAATATAACTAATAAAAAAACGCTTGTCTCAAAAGTTATATCCTAAATTTCGTACACCAGATATTGAAAATTAGTTCGATTTATTACCCATTTTTATTTTTTCGTGATTACTTATCTTTTTTAAACCCGATTGCGGTTACCTGCTTGCTGTTTTTACATTTTCTTTATTGTTTGTCTATGACGGTGGAATAAAATCTCATTTCGTGTGTGACAATTACATAGTTATCAAAAATATTTTTTCTTTTTAAGCGAAAAACTCTTTTAACTTAATTCTCAAAACGGTTAAGACTTGCAATCGGCTTAGCCCAGGATTAATAACAATCCGAAATCATGTTCTCATCGTCTCGTTTCAACGCACCGAGGATATCATCCAGCAGGGAGGTGAAGTTCTCCTTGCACTCGAACCACTCCTGGTGCTGCTTGACCAATTGGTCGAGGTCAATGGTCTTAAGCTCCTCGAAGAACGGTCGCAACGGCATCGCAAACTGCTTGTAGTAAAACTCATCGATGTGCCGCTTCTCCGTCATTTCCACCTCCTCGTTTATATGCATCTGGGTCTCAAACGCCTTCTCCAGAAGCTGGGCATCCTGCGAGTTCAGTATGGACTCAATAATCTCGTCCGCTTCTCCGGGATTTACCGGTGTATGCTGGGGAATCGCAGATGGCTGCGGTTCGGTCGGAAAACAGAACGTTGAGTCTTCACAGTGCGAGATAGGCGATCTCATTTCAATCTCATCCATGATTCCTTTGTAGCGCTCGAACTTTTCTTTCATTACCTTAACACCCATAATGAGAAACTCCAACACCTCCATTGAAGTCTCCTCCCGAAGGCTCTTGAGTAGGATGCCAAAATATCCGTACTGTTGGACCTCTCCGAATACTTTGGCAATGCTAGTCTGGATCTCTTTCTCTGTCAGCGTGACAATCTTTTTCTGCTCCTTGGAAAATGTGACCGAGGGAAAAGAGCCATCGATCATGCCCTGGTTGCTAAACTGTCGGTAAAACTCCCGCCGCCAGAAATTTAGCGCATTCATCTTTACCTCCGAGTGATGATCCCCGACCACACAATAGTTTAGGGTTGAGAAGAGCGTGTTCTTGTACTTGGCTGGGATTTTGCGGTGCTCGTAGATCCTCATCAGCGTGATTATGGCCTCGGCACGCACAATATCATCGGTCTCCCGATACATCACATACATAAGATGATCCTGTACAGATATAAATAAGGTTTAGCCATGCAGGAAGGGTAAGGCATATAAAACGGTTTGCTCACCACAAGATCGAGTTGGCTAAAACTATTTTCCCACAACAGATTAATAGAAACCATTTGCGAAAGACATTTAAAGGCGGAGGCTCGCACATAGACTTCCGAATCATTCTTGGCCATTTCATAGACTATCGGGGGTATCTTTGCGTCGATCAAAAAACGTTGAAAGGCGGGAAACTCTGAAGGAAATCAAGGGATCATAAAAGATCGGCATCACGCAATAATAATAATAACATGCTTACTGACGCGGGAGATAGAAGCTATAGAAGTGGTGAGTTCCAGCGTTGTGTCACGCACCTCCCACATCGTGTCGTGCATCCGTTTGACAATGATGGGACCCAGGCAAACTAAAGCAGAGCCCTGAAGGTTGTCCACCAACAGAGCCATGTTTGGAGAAAGGAAGTGCTCCACAGCCAGCTGGACGAGCTTAAGTGCCTGGACAGTACACTGTAAATAAGTCCAAACTTAAATATTAGCTAGCAAAAATATTTCTTGGATTACTAAAAATGTAATGATAACTGTTTTGTAAAGGTTTATCTTTAATCATGGTTAATTGCATGTAAAAAAGAAAATTTTAAACTCATTTAACGACATATTGAAATATTAATTATTTAACAAAGGCCATTAAGGACTCACCCTGGCGTCCATGTTTGTGTTCTCCAGTACAAAGGCCAGGCAGTTCACCAGACCAATGGTCTCCACTGACTCCTTCCATGTGATCTTGAAGCGTTCGATTAGGGTGCGCAAACCCACCATTACAGAGTGCAGCACCTGGGGATCGTTTACGACCTTCTCTGTGCCCTGCGGATACATTTCAAGGTATGAGCTCCCCGCGCTGCTAACGCTGTGGCAGTCATCCATTGAGTTGTTCGTAATGACACTCAAAGCCACCGCTTCGCGCAGCACGTAGAGCAGAGCCTGGCACACAGTAACAGCTTGTTCCCGGTCGAGCACATTCTCCAGAGCCAGCAGGCTGTGTATGCATTTGTTGGCTAGCCCGGCCGTTACCAGATCCGCCGTCATGCCGTCCGCCGTAAAGAAGTTATCCCGCATGGTGTAGCAGAGACGGAGGGTCTGCTCGCAAGTGAGCTCCAGCAACTTGACGACATAGGCGTCGAAGAGTTCCACCTTGTTCTCCTCGTCGGCGAGCTTCTGAGCATACTTCATAGAGAAGAGCAGCGGCAGCATATGAAAGCAGATTAGCTGGTTTTCGAACGTCACGCGCTCTTGTTGGATAACGATCTCCTTGGGCGCCCGAGCTCCCAGTTTCTTCCACAGCACGTGATTTAGCTCTGCCAGTTTCACAAAGCTCATACCGTCTTTACGGGTAATGAAGAATTTCATGAGATTAAAGAACGACAGCCCGAACTCTGTGAACTCCTCCGGGGGCTCGGTGGCGTCAGGATTTAAAAGCTTTTCGTGCATCAGCAGGGCGAAGTTGTAGCTGCTCAGCGTGGTAAAGATTTTCTCAATAAAGTACGGGTTGTGGGTCATATCAATCAACTTCCAAATGGTAATCTCGAAATCATGATACTCCTTGAGAAGGGCAATCAGACTGGTGCGCTCTTCAAGCACCAGTGTCTGCTGCAGGATGTATGAGAGCAGGTCCAGCGTGGCCGAGATCTTGTGCAGCAATTCATTGTCATCCACCTTGATGTGTATGCGCTCTTCGCCGTTGCTGTTTTTGTACAGATTGTCGTGAAGCGGCTTCATGATCTCGCTAAGTATCTCCAGCGTTACAGCCTTGTCGTGCAGCTTGTCGCAGGACTTGTACAGCATATTGTAGAGTACCTGTCGGGCCTCTCGCACCACATACAGGGTGTGATCGTTGTTGGAATACTGGATGAGCAACGTCCAGATGCGGTGCATACGCAGAAAGGCCAGACCCATGCTGTATTCGGTGACGGCCTTCATCAGTCGAATCCCACCCAGCTTTACCGATGGACTGAAGTTATGTTCCCCCCGCAGCAGTTTAACAGCTCTAAAGGGAAGTACGGATTAGCCCGGTATTTCTTATACTTATGCCACTTACCTGTTCACTATATCGAGCTCCCTCAGGCGCACAATCATCCACTCGTTGTGCGCCAGATAGCTGGTCAGATTCAGCATGAAGGATACCACCTTCGGGTGGATCTTGTTGAAGTCCTCTGTCACCGCAGTGATGCACCTATCAACCCAATCCACCACAAATGGGGCCTGCAGCACAAAGGCGTTCTCTGCGGTAAAATACAAGTAGATCGCGGATAAGAAGATAGCACCCACTTCGATTTGGCAATTTACCCTTGGCCTGCAAGTGCGTGAGGAGCTTCTCAAAGTAAACATTGTTGGTCGTGGAAAAGTTCTCGCGCAAAAATATGTCGAGTATCGGCCGCAGGCGCGACAGCACCTCCTCTTGCTTTTGCATCTTGTTGATTCCACACTGACTGTCTATCTGGTGATTGCTTCTATGGCATAGTTTTGAAGCTTGCAATTTTAACACAGAATAATGAAATCGTTTGATTGCAGCCTCTTATCATGCCAAAAAAAATTGTTTTGCATTCAGAGTGACCGTGCGCGGGAGTCTACTTTATGTCGAACCGGTAATTGCAATTCAAATATATATAGAACATTTCCTAATCGACTTATATTCAACAAAAATACAAAAAAATTATGCCCAATTACAATGATTAAAAATATAAACGAATGCATCTATGGTTTTCTCTTTTTTAATTCTGTATCAATTTGTATACTTTCTGGTACGTTCCTGGTATATTTGAAAAAGTTGTTGTTGTTGAACCTAACTTTTACGCGGTAACACTGTGCCCTAGGCTATTACCAACACTGCCTATCGGGGAATACGAGTTTGTTATTCATTCAGTAAAATTGGTAGAAAAGTACATTAAAAGAGGGTATAAGATGTCAAAGGTGACTGTGCAAGACATAGAAGCGGTGGATGACTACTGGGGACCCACATTCCGTTCGATTCTAGAAGGTAAATGGCGTTTTCAGCCTTACCTAAACTTTGTTTACGCCCATTTAATTTTCTCCTGGCAGGAAACAACACTAAGCAGATTGGGGAGCAGCTGGAGCAGCGAATTCGCAGTCATGACAAGGAGATCGAGCGGATATGCAACCTGTACTACCAGGGTTTTATTGACTCCATCAAGGAGCTGCTGGATGTACGCAGCCAAGCGAAGCAACTGAACACCGAGGTGCATAAGTTAGACACCTCACTCCGCGAAATTAGTGCCTCCCTGATCCAGCAGGGTAATGATTTGGTGCGGGCCCGCCAAATAGAATCCAACTTGGCCAGCGCCATTGAGGCACTTAAGTCCTGTCTGCCTGCTTTGGAGTGCTACATAAAGTTCACGCAGCAGGCCAAGAATAAGCAATACTACCAGGCGCTGAGGACTCTGGAAACCTTGGAGACGGAGCATTTGACGCGGTTAAAGACACATAACTACCGCTTTGCCACTCAGATGCAGATACAGATACCTATCATCAAAGAGAACATTCGTCGCTCCTCAGCTTTGGATTTTCGGGAGTTTCTGGAGAACATCAGAAAGTTCTCGCCACGCATCGGCGAACTGGCCATTACGCACACCAAGCAGCTCCAAAAACGGGACATCAACGCCATCATTGCCGAGCACGTGCAACAGGTTAACGGAGGAGATGATGATGGCGCCAATGTCAGCGCCCAGGACCTTATAGACTTCTCGCCCATCTACCGCTGCCTACACATCTACATGGTGCTGGGGCAGCGCGAGTACTTTGAAAAGGACTACCGCCAGCAACGTCGGGATCAGGCCAAACTGGTGCTTCAGCCGCCGCCCAATATGCACGACAATTTGGAGGCATACAAGACCTATATTTGCGCCATCGTTGGCTTCTTTGTGGTAGAGGATCACGTGAAGAACACGGCGGGTGATGTTGTGACCAACAGTTATCTGGAGGATCTGTGGTCGACCTCACTGACCAAGTTTGTCAACGAGATCAGCATGAGTTCTTCATCCTGCACCGATCCCAATATTCTGCTGCGCATCAAGAACCTGATTATGCTGTCTATCAACACTTTCAAGTGCTACGGATACACAGTCAGCATTCTCTGGGAATTGCTGCACAACATGCGGGATCATTATAATGAGGTGAGTGCTAGACGTTATAAATATTCATTAAAGTAGACTTTATTATTCTTTTTCGAATCACAAACTAACACTCGGTTTTTGTTGACAGGTTTTATTGCAACGCTGGGTACATGTTTTCCGGGAAATCCTCGATAAGGAGCAGTTCCTGCCTATGGTTGTGCAGAACGTAGAGGAGTACGAAGGCATTATAGAGCGGTTTCCGTTTCACTCGGACCAGCTGGAGAACGCTCCGTTTCCCAAGAAGTTCCCCTTTTCGCGCATGGTGCCCGAGGTCTATCACCAGGCCAAGGAGTTCATGTACGCCTGCATGAAGTTCGCCGAGGAGTTGACCCTTTCTCCCAACGAGGTGGCTGCCATGGTACGCAAGGCGGCAAACCTGCTGCTCACAAGGAGCTTCAGCGGCTGCCTTTCGGTGGTGTTTCGCCAGCCGAGTATTACGCTGTCTCAGCTCATTCAAATCATTATCGACACGCAGTACTTGGAGAAGGCTGGCCCGTTTTTGGACGAGTTTGTCTGTCACATGACCAACACGGAGAGGAGTGTGTCACAGACACCATCGGCCATGTTCCATGTGGCCCGGCAGGATGCGGAAAAGCAGGTGGGGTTGCGCATCTGTTCCAAGATCGACGAGTTCTTCGAGCTAAGCGCTTATGACTGGCTGCTCGTGGAGCCGCCGGGCATTGCCTCCGCCTATATTACGGACATGATCTCATACCTAAAGAGCACCTTCGACAACTTCGCCTTCAAGCTGCCCCACATCGCCCAGGCGGCTTGCCGACGCACCTTTGAGCACATTGCGGAGAAGATCTACTCAATCATGTATGACGAGGATGTGAAACAGATTTCCACCGGGGCGCTTACACAAATAAACCTTGATCTGATGCAGTGCGAGTTCTTTGCGGCTTCGGAACCAGTTCCTGGTCTGAAGGAAGGGGAGCTGAGCAAGTACTTTCTGCGTAACCGACAACTGCTGGACCTGCTCATCCTGGAGGAGTGGAGCACGTATTTCCACGACTATGGCAAGCAGGAGAACCGCTACCATCTGGTGCAACCGCAGTCCATCATTGTGATACTAGAGAAGATCCGCGAGGCGGATAAGAAGCCAATTTTCTCGCTGGTGAGAAAAAACGACAAGAAAAAGTTGCTGGAAACGGTGCTAAAACAGCTGAAGCACATCGCCGATAGACAGAGCTAGGATACAAAAGCTGTTGGTTAGTTAGAGCTTTGAGCAAATAATTATTATTATTCCAACATTTAATAATCTGCTGGAATGAATGATTTTTCAAACTCTAATTCTAATTGTATAATCCTTCACTTTATAGCTTTTCATCGTTATTATTTAGGCTAAATTGAATTTCACATGATAAAAGTATTTAGTTCTCATTTACTTTTGATTCGATTTGTTTTTATAAAAGACAAATTTCAATTGAAACTGCTCGACCCGTTGAACGTGTAAAATTGTATTTTGAATTTTGATTCGTATGTACAAAAAGCGCAGAACTTTTGTGGTTGCCTACGTACAGATTGTTGATAAATGCAAAACGAAAACGATACAAAAAGAAAACAAATGGAGAGGAACGGCTAAATAACAAATTGTATATAATTATTAGATGTATGTAGCGTACGTGTATTGTGTAGGTATATTCCGCAAATCGTAATAAACTAACTTCTAAGTTACGTATATGCGTTGTTTGCGTTGCTTTTGTCAACTCTTTGTCTCCAGATGCTTCGGCGCATCCGCATACGTGAACTTTAGGCGGAACGCCTCAGCTAGCAGAACGTTGATTTGGCGATCGGACCAGTTGTGCGTTGGCAGATTTTGTAGCAACAACATGAGACCCTGTCGGCGGGAATTATCATTGATCAGTAGACGCTTGAGCAAATTTTATCATAGACTTACCTGGAAATCGTTCTGTTGCATCAGCTGCTCCTTCCAATGTAAAAGAAATGCCGCGCACACGTACAAGTGGAACAGGGCGAAACCGTCCGACTCCGCCAGATATGTGTCCCACAGCCGAATGGTGCAGTGCAGCGGCAGTTCGCGTGTCAGCAGATTGTTCATCCAGCGAAATGAGAATTGCAAGTAATCGACCCCATGCGCCTGTAGATGACGGTGTAGATTCACTGAAAATGCGAATTAAATATAATTTGTATTATTCGGCAATTATAGATTAAAGGGTAATCATGGAATTAATGTCCCCTACTATCTGGTAATTATTCCTATCAGTGCCGAACTATTGCATTCATAATATTTTTAGTATATTAAATTGCAACATACCAATACCAATGCAAATATTATTGAATACTTTAATGTGAAATTAAAAGATAATTTTTCAACAAAAACATATTTGCACCAAACAGCATGTGCAAATATAAACAATTAAATAAATAAATATACAATTAAAATGTACCATCTAAATGTGCAGCTGTAATTCTCCTTATGACGAGATCATCAGAGAGAACAAGTTTTACCTTTAAACTTTTATTTTCTCAAGACTTAAGCATTGGGAGATTATCCCAGTTATCTTATCTCAAACCCAAAAAAGTATCTCTATCTATTCTTGATCACTTTCAATTTAAGCTTATCTTGATGAGATGTATATCTATTGACAAAAGTAAAATAGTCCCACTCACCGTCAATGCGTTGTATCAGATCCTTGAGTTGGTTAACCTTCTCCTGTATGCCCAGCTGGGCAAAGATGTAGTTATCCTGGATGCAGTCGAGAAACTTGGAGAGGCACCAAAACGAGTCTGCCTCAATGATGTTGCGCGTCTCCTCGGGCAGCGTTGACATGTCGTATTTCTCTAGATCCGTGTTAGGCGTCAGAGCCTCCTGCAGAAAAACAATGAAGAAGGGTGTGACCAGGTCGTTGATGCCCTGCACGTAGCCGGAGGCAGGATGGCGAATGGCCCAGATGAACAGTATACGCTCGAACATCTCCTGGACGAGCTGTTGCTGGAAGAGTGGTATCTGAGGATTCATGCGTGGCACGTCAATGTGGATCTGGCGGTACGTGTCCTGCTGCGTTTCATCCTGGCTATCGACCCGGAAGTAGTTGTGTCTGAGGTCCTGATATCCCTGCCGTTTGCTTTCCAGCACCGCCATCCGCCTCTCGCTCGAAGGAGGCAGATATTTCGAAAGGAGTCTCCAACTGACTGCGCGCATCTATGTTGGGGTTGTATTAGATATGTACATGGATTAATCGTGTAATTCTTACCTTCCGCGGTACGCCTGACCAACTGATCTGCTTGAGAGCCACCAAATCCAGTTGTGGAGAGTCTAGCACCACCTGAAACTTCTCAATTTTCGTCTCGTACTCGCTGTCCTGGCAGTTCGAGCTAATCTTCTGCAGTTGGGGTCTTCCCGGGTAATTCCTCATTCGCGATCTGAAAATGCAACCTTGATTACTAACCGAACGGGTCTTGCTTGCTTGCGGTCTTCGTTCTGCGTCTGCTGACATATCTCTGAGGGAAGGGCTGGGGAGTGGCTATCAGTTAAGGAAGTCAAATGCTTCAGGAGCGGCTCCCAAGCAAAGCGATTAACACTTGTTAAAACATGGGGAAATTCACTTAAAAGCTGGAAACACCTTAAATGTTAAATAACACAAGTGATTTACTTTAGAGGGCATTAAGCTTTAAGATTAATGCCTGATCGTTTAAACTGTCCTTCGAGGCAATGAAATTATTCTCAACTCCTAATATTAATGTTAATTTTTGTTGGTAACAGTGAAACTCGCAGCTTTGACAATAAGATCTTCTTTGCCTAAACCACAACAATTTGAAACCAATCATCATTAATAATAATGTAAAACAAATAAAAATTAGAACCAATTATATCTACTAGAGACTCCTTACATTTACACTTACACTTTTCGGACTGTTTTCTTAAATTTTAAAATAAATGCTGATTTTAAACACCAAAATTTTAGTTTAGAGAACGGGCCTTAACAGATTTTACTTAAAAATTGTTTTCCCATCTGGCTTGCTGAACTATAATTATAAAATATTGTTAAAATTTCTCATATAAACTATGTTTTTAAAAGAAGAATAACACTCCTCTAAACTTCCCAATAAGCGAATTATTATATCACTGAGTAACCCACCCACAGCTTACCACCCGCTCCACCCCTGGCTTGTTTGCACAACTGAAGGCGCTGGGTTCAACTTTCTTTTTGACTTCCCAAATGCGTTGGCACCGCTTACCTATTCTCGTTGCTGTCCGGCAGCGATCTGCGGTCTTCTTTGCTGTCGTCCGCCGAGCTCCTGCTGGCCTGGATGGAGTCCGCGCCACATTCGCTGGCAGGCTGAGATGCGTTATGGTTCTGGTTGCTCCGCGAGTGCGTCTCGATGACATTGAGCGCCACCGTCTGGGACACTTGCCGCGAAAAGCGAGTGCCATCTGCGGAGGATAAAAGCGGTAGTGTTAACAGAGTTGAAAAGGAGTCCTTGTGGTATAACCATTACCACCGCCGGCTCCAGCTGCCGCCGCAGCAGCCGCCTCCGTGCTGCTGATGATGCAGAACTCGTCGTCGCCCATGTCCCAGGCATCGCTAACCGACTTCTGGTACTCGGTGAAGGTGGACACCATGCCAGTACCGGGGGCAGCGCCTCGTCCGACCGCTACCCCAACTCCCGCGGACTTTTCGAGCTCCCGCTTGGGACTGGGCCGTCCGGGCACCCGTCGCCCGCTGTTTTTCCAAAAGGTCGAAGGGTTTGCGCCGGGCGTTGGACCCGCGACACTTGCTCCGGATTCTGGGGCTCCTGCAGCTGATACGGCTGCGAATGTTGCTGCTGTGGAATCTGCTGTTTGGGTCTTTGCTGATTGCTCTACATTATTATCCATCATAGGTCCGATTCGATGTGATGTATGTCAGCGTCATTATTTTGCATCTACAAACAGTGTGACCCTCGCAGCCTTGGCCGCTGTCACATCACTTTTGACAGTGATGCGAATACTGAGTGATCTAAAGGGTGACATGGTTAATAAACCAGAGGCAATATCATAAATTTTTTAAATTGAGGCAATTTTATGTAATTTTGAGATGAATTTTTGATCCTTATTATGACTTTTTCCAGATGCCCATAAATAAAAAAACTTAAAAACTTAAAAGCGAATTGCCGCAATCTTTGCTTAGGAACTGGAACTGCGCTTGAATCCTGTCCTTGAGTTGGCGCCCAGCTAGCAGACAAAATGTTTTTAAATCTTGGCCCAAATTTACTCGATTGGCCCTCTATCTTTGCACAAATTGTTGAAGGCAAGATAACTTGATAATCCCCACTCGCAAAAATGTTTTAATTTGAGATATTTCAATAAATGTTTTGGAGCAATTTTTCAAATAAAATTTTTGATTTGTGATCCAAGTTCAACCTTTACATATCCGTTACATTCATTAAATATACCATATGTATCATATTGCACGATCAAGCAACAAGTTTGAATGATGTCTGACCGTTGCAGACCTCCTGCCATCAGCTGTTGCTTTTTCAACTTTCACTTTGTCTGGCGGTTTTTGGAGCACTCCGCTTCTTGAGGAAAAAGTTGTCGAGGAAGTTGTAGTTCCATTGATACAGTTATGCTGCAGTAATACCCGTACACGCACGCAATCACGGCAGCAACTAACACCCAAAATCAGCAGCAATGGCCGCCGTACGGAGTCGCCACAATGGAGCACCTACAGTGGAGACGGAGACGGATAACCAGATAGCCAAAAGCCACAATAATAACAATAAGCTAGAAAAGTCACCATCCAAGAACGGAAACCCGGAGAAAAGTGACCCCATGATATACATAATCTTCGTATCATTACTTTTCGATTTGCTGGCCTTCACCATTATTTTGCCGCTACTGCCGTCGCTCTTGGAGTATTACCGCCAGAATGATAGTTCCGGGCTTTATGCCGTTCTCACGGATCGGGTGCGTTGGTTCCAGCAGCTCCTCGGTGCTCCGGAGCGTTATATATCGGTGCTATTTGGAGGCTTCCTCGGCTCTATGTTCAGCTTCCTGCAGTTCGTGGCAAGTCCAATTGTCGGAGGGCTTTCGGATTATTATGGCCGGAAACCTGTCCTACTGGTTTGTGCGGTAGGTAATCATAGTTTTAGCTGGTTTAATCTATACTATGTCCCTATATTGATTAGATTCAAAATTTCATAAGTCAATGCATTTGTTTTTATTTATTTTAAATTAAAGCTTTAAATCATTGAAAAGTTTAATTTCCCGGGACAATTAACGTTAGAGAAATATATATTAATGTGTTTACATTTTATGTATTGTGTGAATTTCATATATTTTTCCATCCCCAGTCCGGCATTGCGCTATCCTATCTGATCTGGGCCTGCTCCAGCAACTTTGCCCTGTTCGTTTTAGCCCGCTTTGTGGGAGGCATCAGCAAGGGCAACATATCGCTGTGCATGTCCGTAATCACGGATGTATCCAGTGTCAAGACCCGCGGACGAGGCATGGCCTTGGTGGGCGTGGCCTTCTCGCTGGGATTTATTGTGGGTCCCATGATTGGAGCTCTGTTCGCCATATTCTCGGATAAAAGTGGAGGCGCCTGGTTTGTGCTGCCCTCTCTGCTGGCTTTTGGTCTGGCGATCGGTGATCTTCTGGTGCTAGGCTGTTGCCTACGCGAAACTTTGCCCAAGGTTTGTTTTCGGTAATTATCCACAACCTATATTTTATTGTTTAAATTTTTTACAGGAAAAGCGAGTTAAGGAGATCTCCTCTGCGCTGTCATATGGCCTACAGTTGCTCAACTTTTCTGCCATATTTAGGTAATTCATTGTTTTAATTAGCATGTCGTCGCGCAACTGTAGGGAGATAAGATCGAAATTGTGCGAACCGGACTTGCCTGACTAGTTTGATGGACCTTATCGTACCGGGTAGTCAAGCACGTTTATTTGATAAACGTATCAGTTGGCTGAGGCTCGTAATGCTTCTGATTAAAAGTAGTTACAGGGAAAAGTGTCCAGTTATCTACGATTATGCCTGGATTGTTCAATCATATTTCAACATAATTTTCGTATTACCAGATTTGCTGCTATTAAAAATGTTCCCAAGAAAGATGTCGAGGCATTGCGATCCATAGGCCTGATATACTTCTTGTACCTCTTTTTGTATTCCGGTCTGGAGTTCACCGTCACCTTTTTGATGTACCATAAATTTGGTTACACTTCGATGGATCAGGCCAAGATGTTTTTGACGACTGGTATGGAAATACTCTGATATTTTATAAGTCTCAATTAATTTATTGTCATATTTTGCAGGAGTCATAATGACTTTGCTGCAGGGTTCAGTGGTTCGTCGACTGCCCGAGGCCAAGATCAAGGGTTATGCCATCTTTAGTCTGTACCTGATTGTGCCGGCCTTCGTATTAGTTGGCCTAGCTGAGGGCAGTCGTCTGCTCTACGCCGGCATGACCCTATTTGCAATCTCCACCGCCTTCGCGGTCACCTGCCTGACCACACTCGTATCCAAGTATGGCAACGATGATCAGAAAGGTTCAGTATTGGGCATATTCCGCTCCCTGGGAGCTCTGGCTCGTGCTCTTGGTCCCGTTGTGGGCTGCATTGGTAAGCGTCGATGTTGCTTTATGATTCTACCCACTCTAATCTTACGAATGCCCATAGCCTTTTGGTGCGTGGGCTCAAGGATCACCTATATAGCCGGCGGGCTCCTACTCATTTATCCAGCCATGGCCTTACAGCGCGCCCGCATTTAAGTGCAATAAGAACAAAGTATATTAATAACATTAGAGATCAACGCAAGTATTACCTGCACATTATACTTAATTTATTGTTTTATACAAGTATTTTATATTAAAAGCAAAACACAATTTTATTTTTTATACTCAAAGTAAAAGAGAGTTTTATTTCATCGGGTGAATTTGGCAAAACAGATTTTATTAAACTATTTTCTGTAATAAGAAAGGATTGTTTTGTTCCTTTAATCAAAAGAAAATTGTAGAAGCTTAAATTAATTTAAATATTTTTTTAAATGAACTGCTTTTTAATTTAGTGGTCAAGGCCAATGTAGTTGCTACTTCAAGTCAAACAAGGTACTTTTAAATGTCGAAAAACATTCCAGACTTTTATTGACTACCCAATGTATAAATATTACAAAAAAATTTAATTTTTTGTTCTTAAAGAACTTGCTTAGTTATTTATTAGCTTTTGTTTTTTTCGCGCTAAAGTTATACTTTTGTGCATCGAGCTGGCAGCCCTGACGCATGACGGAACGTAAATACCATTACGTAATGCTTACGACAAATAATCGATTCTGAAAACATCGATAGTATCGAATATATCGATTTTTGTTCCAGTTCTACAAGCCGCAGCCAACTTCACTTCAATGAATATTGGGAGTGACTAAGTTTCGTGTAAGAGAAAATTAAAAATAAATGCGCTAAAAGCATCTGCAATTGTCAAATTAACACTGCGCCAGTTACCGGACAGTTTCTGCCTAAAGATTTCAGCCTTGCTGAGCATACTACCAAAACGATTTGAACACCAAAATACTGATATACATTTTTCTTTTTCTTTACAACTACAACTACAAATAAAAGTGTAAAGTGTGTGAGAGCCTACGACAAAACGCATTAAAGAAATCGGCGGCGCGCAGATTATTGGATTTCGTTTAGCACCCGCATATAGAAAAGGACGGAACTGGATTAGCCAAGGATATCCAATCCCGAGAGCGTTAGCAAAACAAATTCAGGAAAATGGGTGCAAGAGAAGACGAGTACGATTATCTGTTCAAAGGTAATTATAAACATGACACTAGCCGGTGGTCGAAGCCGAAGATCGTGGAAGGGGGTGGAACAGGAGGAGCAACATTTCCAGGCTTGCTCCTCGCTCAATTGTACTAATTGAAACTAATTGGAGAATAACAAAAAGTGCACTCAAAGAGCCCAAAGTTCATGTGTCCGTGTTTGTGTGTGTGTGTGTGATTAATTCCCAAAATAAGTCAAAGAAGTACGCCCCCCGAGTTTATTGTTGTTGTTGTTGTTGCTGCTGCAGTTGGATGCCCTTTATGAACTCTCCCGCTCTCTTGTTGGACCTCTCTCTATCTCTCTTCCGTTTTGAAGTACGCGTACTTTGCCGTTAACTGTCTGTTTTGTCATTACGTTACCGCTGCTCTCGCCACGTTGCATACAAAAGCAAAGGCAAATCATATTTTTAATCGGTTTTTAAAAGTAGTTTTTTCATTGCTTAGCCACCCACTCAAATTCCCAAATTGATTAGATTTCCAGTAAACTACGGCGAGAGAGTGGGTATTATGATTTCTGTACAGCTGGCTTTTGCATTGGATTTTTGTAACTTCCTTTAGTGAGAGAGCAACTCTCCCGCTCTCATTTGTTTGGAGCACAGTGGAGCAAAGTAGAGAAGTAGCTATACGTTTTCCACTGTACAAAGAATCTTTTCTATTAATGCTCAAGGGGTCATCAGTTCTCTTTGCTTCTTTGTTTGCTACTGCGCCATAAATTTAAATTGCGCTTAAAAAACTTAAATCACTGCTGATTAACTGTTGAATGTCATTATTAATAATATTGTACTAGCCCATCTTTTGTCAAATACTTAAACCCTTATCTCGCGTCGTTTTTGGGTCAAGTATCCAAAAAAGTACAAAAAAGACGACATGAATGCGTCAATGTGCGATATGCATGATTAGGCCTCACATTTCGCTCATAACGATATTAACAATGTATGACTCACGAAACCTGCCAATAACTGTTGAAGAATTCCACTCGGCGATAAGCACATAATCACATAACCAAAGTGGGCTGTATTTGGGTTGCTCGATCCATTCCTCTAGTAAGTAATAACAGTCAATTACTCCCCTTTTAATTTCTCGTCACATCCGCTTTACTAAGTAATTTCTCTTGAAGATCGTTAGAAACTACAGAGATAGAGAGTAGCAAACGGAGTGACTCAGCGCTCTCGCTGATAACTGTAACCAGGCTGCTCTCAGCTGTCCACACAGAAAAAAAATGTATATGTTTTTCTTAATTTGATGATCACATACCAGTTTTTTAATAAGGGTAACAAATAATGTACATCTTTTTTTTTCGATACCTAAATTTTTAATTAATCTGTTATAATTACCTTATCGGTAAAGAGTTTGGGTTCTACTCTCTATTTTAATTTCTAATATTTATTTTTATATATTCATTTTTATACAAATGATAATGATAAATTGAATATCTTTATTTGACCGGCGCATTTTAGTTTAATTTGAGCAACAATTTTTTTTCTCTGGAGCTATAGAGAGATTGGTAGAGCAAAAAGGTGTTTGATGAGTTTTTGTTATTGTTTTCCGAATGGCTTGGCAAACATGCTGAATCAACAATGTCCGAAAAGGGTGTCAAAAATTAAAACTATCTAGCATGTGTACACTTAAAATGCAGAAGATATGGGCTAATGTAAACTTAATAAATTCTAGCAAGCAAAAAAAATCTAGTATTAAATTAAATATATTTCGCTTTTATTTCTATAAAAAAACAAAGGTAAAACAGAAGAATTTGTAATAATAGATCAAGGATATTTTGAGTTTTACAAAAGCAAAGAACAAATAAAAGATCTTCCAGATTATTAAAGTTTTGTATTTTACAAGATTTTGTAGATCATAATTTCTATAATTGAATTATATAAAAAAAAACTAGGTTTTAAATTGCAAATCACTAATATTAATTATTTTATAAGAGTCTTAGCTTACACATCATGCTCGAACAATCCCCTTAATAGTTCTTGAAATATTTGCTCTATCGGCAATGAAGTACAATAACACGAACTCCCTCAATCATAAAACATTTGTTTCTATTGGCTATGGACTGAAATCCCACGAGCATAGTGGTTTTATGAACATGCTGACCTTGGGGCGCCGCGCCAGCAGCGAATGGAGGACATGACCTAGCCTAGCTCGACAAACCACTATCCTGTCCGGCCGTAAAACACAAAACACGGACCAGAACACACACCCACATATATTATGCAACTTCTGGTCTTTTCGATTATCCAATACCAACGTTACTAATGCTCTCTAATCCTTTGCAGTTGTCCTTATCGGTGACTCGGGTGTTGGTAAAAGTAACTTGCTCTCACGTTTCACGCGCAATGAATTCAATTTGGAGTCCAAGTCGACGATTGGCGTTGAGTTTGCAACGCGCAGCATAGAGGTGAGTACGTGGCGGAAAAGTAGGGGGTGGAGTGGGAGATTTGGAATCACCACACCAAACCCCCGCCCCCTGAGTGGGTCACGGGAGAACGTGCGTGTGCCATTTGCAGGGGGGCGCGTAGTGGTGGCATCTATCAGAAAATGGGGGAAAACTTACGTTCAATTTCAGTAAGTGTCTGGGAATTTCACTAAATAAAGGATTGCCAATTGGTTTTCTTGCATAATTTATGAGGTTGTCCTGCGGGGGGCCAGGTAGATGTTGACATCATAGTTGCCACTTACACCAAAATGGTGTCATAAATATTGCTTTAATTAAAAAACAGCAAAGGAATTGAATTTAAAAGTTGTATGATTAAATGGCAAATAGTGTTATTATCACCTATGTTTGATTTTTAAAATAAGTTTTTGAGTAATTGGGCCATTAAGGGCCATTGTTATTTTGCTAATTATACTAGCATGTAAACGATTTAAACTTGTGACTGTCCAATAACCAAAACGAATAAAAATATTTGGATTAAGTTGGTTAAATAGTGTTAAACCTAACACCTGAAATTAAAATTCGGTTTGAGAACCCAAATGTCCCATTTGGTATAGCCCTGCAGGGCTCTAATTTGTACCTAAGTGCTGACATCACTATGCCCAGTTTGACCATCGATTTTCTAAGCGAAACCGCCGGAAGGATAACTTGGCGAAATTGCCAATTACTGTCACTATTCTAATGCGGTTTCCTTTGTTTCGTCCCATTTGCCCACCCAATGCAGGTCGATGGGAAAACAATTAAAGCGCAAATCTGGGATACGGCCGGCCAGGAGCGTTATCGCGCCATCACCTCTGCCTACTATCGCGGTGCCGTGGGAGCCCTGCTCGTTTATGACATTGCCAAGCATCTGACCTACGAGAACGTGGAGCGGTGGCTGCGGGAGCTGCGCGACCACGCGGACCAGAACATCGTCATCATGCTGGTGGGCAACAAGTCCGACTTGCGGCATCTGCGATCCGTGCCCACGGACGAGGCGAAACTGTTTGCCGAGCGCAACGGCTTGAGTTTCATAGAAACCTCGGCCCTAGACTCGACGAACGTTGAAACGGCATTCCAGAACATACTCACAGGTGAGTGATTCATCTGGAAAATATCCAGCTTACTGTAGATATTATCCAAATTTAATTGATAAGCCATATATTAGTTATATTTAATTTTTGTTTAATGAATTTATCTAATAGAGTTATAGTTTGAAATTTTCTCGTTAAAAATAAAACTACCAATGAATGTATGAATGTATTAAAATTAAAATTTCATTCAAAAAGATATAATTGCTTCCCTTCCTTATAAACATAGTACGAATATTCAAGGTTATCGTTAGTCATTGCATTATTGTTTTAAAAAAATGTTTATGAATGTAGTCATGCACATAAAGCTTAAACCTTTCTTTCAACATTAAAATTTAATAGAAAAAAAGTGATTAATTTTAACTGGAAATGTAATAGAGAAAATGTAAATGATAAGCTCTTTATTAGAACTAAAAAAATAACTTATTGTTATAAACATCAAAATTAAGTGATTATAAACAAAAACATTTCATAGTTATTCAAAAAACGGTTTCCAAGTTCAACACAATTCGTTGAAATCAAAAAAGAGCAATGCCAATGATACATTTTTACATTAAAATTTAAAAAAGTATTGTAATTCAAGAGTGACTAATGGAGTATTATTCTTGTTTTGCAGAGATCTATCGCATTGTGTCGCAGAAACAGATCAGAGATCCGCCGGAAGGCGATGTCATTCGTCCGTCGAATGTGGAGCCCATCGACGTAAAGCCGACTGTTACCGCCGACGTACGCAAGCAGTGCTGTCAGTGACCGCCCCAAGCAACTTTCGCTATCCCCCGCAACCGCCAGAACAGCAACATAAACAGAAGCAACAAAAATTACAACTACAACAACAACAACAACAACAGCAGCAGCAACAACTACAAGATCAGAAGCAGCGAATATCTGATGGAGGGCATAAGATGTTTTTGTGTTTTTGAATCACAGTTTGTCATATGTGCATAAATTGATAAATCAAATCAACACCACCACCAACACCAGCAGTAACAGAATCGAAAACAACATCCGGCTGTAGTTAACTGCGGTTTAAACTGAAGTTTTATATATACAGATTTAAAGAATATCGCATAAATCGATCGCCGTGGAAAGAAAGCAAGCAAAACTAAACACTCCAAATTCAGTTTAAGCTGTAGAACTATAATTTATATAAATATACATATATGCTAATATTAAAAATATTAATATTATTAATTTTTCGCAACATAAATATATAGTTGTAATTTTTCGAAAAAAAAACAACAACAACAAACAACCGGAAATATTCGATTATGATGCAATTCATTTTCGCAACACTGCAGCTCGGCGCAAGCAATTTTGCGAATTTTCTTTAGTTTTCACTCCTACATTTTCAACAATTGGCCACTACGTAAAAGAAAATTTGTCTAAAACTAGCTGATAAAGAGAAATCAAACAAGAACAGTTGTAAAACTTTAAATGCATAAATGAAACGAAATAACATCATTTGTGTTTGCTATGTTAAGTGTGATTAAATAAATATAATTTAAATAAAAGGAAGTTGAAAGATGTTTTGAATTGGAGGGAAACCAATTTAAATGGAAATAGAGTGACCAGACGGTGGAAGCCGCCTCGCGCTCGGTATTTTCCGCGCATGCTGACACACTGACCTAACACGTGCGGCAGGAAAGTGGAGAAAGAAACATCAAAACATGGGCGGCAAAAAGAAAGTGCATCCAAAGACGCGTACGGCGGCCTTCAAGGCCAGCGAGCCCAGTGAGATTGTGGAGGCGCCGCACTCCTTTGTCATCCACCGCGGCCTCACCTGTCCTTACATTACGGACCTCACTCTGGACTTCCGACGCATCATGGAGCCCTTCACGGCCAGCAATCTGCGAGAGAAGCGGATGAACCGCATCAAGGACTTTGTCAGCCTAAGCAGCTTCTTTCACGTCTCGCACATGGGCATCTTCAACAAGGCCTCCACGCAGCTGTCCTTTAAAGTGGTCCGCCTGCCGCGCGGTCCCTCCCTGACTTTCAAGGTTCGTTTGCTTAGTTAAACCCATTTCGCAATACATGAGTTATCCAAACGCAGGTCCACCAATTCACCCTGGCCAGAGATGTGATCTCATTGAGCAGAAAGCAGATGATCGATAACGACCACTTTAAGCACGCTCCCCTGGTCATCATGAACAACTTCAGTGGCGATGGAAAGCACCTCAAGCTGATGGCCACCACGTTCCAAAACATGTTTCCCTCCATCAACCTGGCCCAGGTAAATATAGGTACCATTCGTCGCTGTGTCCTGTTCTCGTACAATCCGGAAACGAAACTGGTCGAGATGCGACACTACTCCGTGCAGGTGGTGCCCGTGGGATTAAAACGAGCGGTTCAGAAAATCGTCAAGGGCACAGTACCCAATCTGGGCAAATGCAACGAAGTGGTGGATTTCGTGACAAAGTAAGGAGTTGTCCTAGTATGCCTATTCCATCCATTGATTTACCTAAATCGTTTCCAGAGATGGTTATGCATCCGAATCGGAGGCCGAGGATGACGAGCAGTCACATGTGGTCCTCGCGCAAACGCTCAAGAGCAAGGGCAACCTAGAGGACAATAAGAGTTCAATCAAGCTTCACGAGATCGGACCACGCCTAACACTGCAGCTCATCAAAATAGAAGAAGGCCTCTTAACCGGTGAAGTTCTGTATCACGATCATGTGGTCAAGACAGAGGAAGAAAAGGAAACCACGAGAAAGCTCGTGGAAAAGAAGCGGAAGCAGAAGGAGCAGCGTAAGAAGGAACAGGCCGAGAATCGGGCTCGTAATCTGAAAATTAAGAAGGATGAAAAATGGGCTGCCAAACGGGAAGCGGAGGGACGCAACGACAGCGATCCCGAGGACGATGCGGAGTACTACAAAGAGGAGGTGGGCGAGGATCCAGATGAAGGTGAGTAGGCACATGGTTCTACATTAGAACAAAAATTAAAGGATCCCATTGCAGAACTCTTCAAAATGGAAGAAAAATCTTCTCGCAAACGTCCCAACCTGACCGGCGGCATGAAATACAAGAACAAACGGCCAAAGCTGGATACCAAGGATAAAAAGGTTAAACGCAAGGATAAGTTTGATCGCAAGGACAAGTTCGATCGCAAGGACAAGTTTGATCGCAAGGACAAGTTTGACCGCAAAGACAAGAAGTTCGACCATAAAAATAAGAAGGACAAGTTTGACCCCAAGAACAGAAGGGCCAAGTTCGATCCCAAAAACAAGAGGGCCAAGTTCGACCACAAAAAGAGTAGGAAATCAAAGTAGTACATTAAACATAAGCTATTTTATAAAGACCATTGGTAAGCCTGACATTGAATTGTTATGAATGGAAACTAGCTGAACATGCGCTGCACCACCTCCTTGTAATGGGCGTTACTATCCTTCCAGCTGGCCGCGATGTTGTCGCGTAGCTTGCTGAACTCTCGCTTTTCCTCGTAGTTGGGTAACCGTTCGATAGTGGCCTGCGCCTTGGCGAACTCTTTCAGGTGGTAGTAGGCCAGGGCCCGACGGTAGATGCTTTTCTCGCTGGGACTCTCCTCCGGCTCCACGAACTGCGTGTGATAGATGACGTGCTCGTAGCGCTTCTGTTGCAGCAGGCAGGCCGCCATGTTGGTCTGTATCTGGATGAAGAGCGTCTCCACCTCCTGACCGTTGATGCCATTCGCTTTCTTGGTCAGTTGGTTAAAGGGTTTGTAGGTGATCAGCAGCTTTGCGGCCCGCACAAAGTAATCAAAGGAAAATCTTGGGAACGTTTTGTAGGTGGCCACGCCGCTTCTCTTTAAGGCGCAGTGCCACCTCGTATATCTCAGCAGCGTCCAGCTTCTCCACCTGCGTGTTCTTCACAATCCCCTCCAGCTTCAGCTCAAACTCGATCGTATCTCCGGTTTTGGTCTTAATGCTGCAAGCTGCTGTTTCGCCGAGAACAAATTGCTGCAGCAGTAGCTCCACGTAACAGTCCACTGCAGTGAAACTGGTGCCCATTTCCAGGATGTGTTGTTGTGGATACTTCGAGGACTCATCGCTGCTTAAGTACTTGCTGGGTCGTCCTCCCAAATTGGCGCACTTCTTTTTGACACTGAACTCCACCGTGCTGACGGTCGTAGGCTTTTCCATTTCGGTAAACTGGACGTCCAGTACTTTCTTGGATAGTCCACGGCTCTTGTCCTCCCACTCTGTGCCCACATACCATTCCATTTTGGAGGATTTGCAACTAAGAAATCTTGGGGAATTGGGCCAATTCTAAATAAAATCTTTAATTTAGTGTTTGTGCGGTGTTACCAGGTGCCATCGATGCGTTCCCCCAAAAATGTGTGCAAAAAGCTTATAATACCACAAAAAAATACACAGAATTTTAAATAATCAAGGCGCGTAGTTTGAAATAGCTTTGGTTTCTATTCAAAGACTAACAAAAAAGACGGTTTATTAATCAAATTTGGCAAAGTAAACTTTAGAAATCGGATATAACTAAAGTGAAATACTTGGAAGCCCTCTCCAGCAAAGCTTTGGCAAGCATCGGCGTCCAAAACTTAAAGATAAATAAAGATTGGTTATTCTTTTTGATAAATTAGCTCAGTTATTTAAATTTTTTTTGTAAATAGATCAATATTGAGAAAAATGTATACCAGACATTAAACAACTCAAGTGTTTATCCACGGAAAACCCACTGGAAAAACCCTCCAAATGAATTAAAAAGCAACGACTTAGCATTTATACACAATTTATTATTATTTCTAGTTATCTGTTACCTATACTAAGCCCTTTCGCGCAATAGCAGTTGCTCGGCCATCGTTTAACAAGCTGCAATCTTTCCACTAACAGTTTTACATATTCCGGAGTATGTGTTCATATTTCATCAACTTTTTGTTAAAGTAAAACGTTATGTACATACATTAGTTAACGCGGAAGCGGCGATCGTGATCCAGATCAAGTATAGCATTGGAACTTAACTTACAAATAGCAATACATATAGTAAAATATCCATTGATCACAATCAACGAACTGTATACATATAAATATATTGATGAAACTTCCTGGAAATTTGCTATTTTCTACATACACCTATATCTAAAATCTAGATTATAGTTATCATTGATCAATCAAAGAATAGGTTATATATTGCAGTACAATGGATTAATTTTGTATTTATCTTTACTCAAAAGATTTGTAACTACCAATTGTCGTTCTTTACACAAGTAACTTTTAATTTAAATTATTTGTATTTGGATAACTTAAATTACAGTTGCCAATTAAATACTAGGCTTAAATTTAACTTTACAATTAACACAAACATTAGGCAATAGGCATATAAAGTAGGTTACAAATGTGCAATGCGGCGAACCGAAATGATACTTTGCCAATTTCAATGAAGCGACTCTAACTAATATTTATGCTAAAGACTGATTTTCCTGGCCGTTTTTTAGATTCCTCCTCCGAAAATATTCCAAGCCATTTGACAGTTTCAATTTTCCTTAAGACGGCAGCTGCATAAACGCGACACTTGTGTATTTGAGCTAAAGAAACACTTAAAGTAACGCCCGAGCGATTCATCAATTCAAGGCGCGATTCAAAGACTGACCCTCGATTAGTATTACAGCGCCTAATTAACTAATACATAGTTTCTTTTTCTGATTTTGTTTCATTTTCATTCGTACATGACAGCCAGTTTTGCGAAAATATTTATATATTTTGTATACTCCTTTTGCATTTATTGTTTTTGTTTGCTTTATAACTTCATTTAATTCATATTATGCGTGTGTTTCGTGTAGGCGTGTGTGTGTGGATGTGTTTTGTAGTGTAGTGTTGTGTGCGATTGTAAAATAGACGCTCAGAGATCGCTGTATCTTGGGTTCAACATAGTTTTTTTAATAGACGAGTCGCAATGCTGTATGTTTTTGCTGGCTAAAAACTATTCACTCTTCATTCATCATAATCATTAACATTCTCAACATCTACTTCACAATCCAGATCATCCGATTCTGGATCCGACCCGGAACCGGAACCGGTGACAGAGTCCGAACCAGCAGCATTCCGATGCCTAACATATCCCCCCATAAACGCCCCAGCATCATCTCTAGAATCCTCATCGTAAAACTCGCCATCGTCCTCGTCATCCTCCTCTTCTTCGCTCGAGGATTGTAGATGTAACTCACGCAGCTGCCGTTGCACAAAATGTTAATGTTCCATCAAGGCCGCTATAGCAACAGCAAAAGTTGCAAAGAAAAATCAGAAAACAAAACGAAACCGTTATGCATAATTCAAGAGATCAATGAGGTGAAAGTTGCTTCTCTTACGTGACGGTGTGCGTCCGGTCTTGTTCTCATTGGGTGTAAAATTTAGAAAGTCCCAAATCAAAATTGTATCATCATGCGAGCTGCTCACAATTTGGAACTCATCGAATTGCAAACGAAAGACGCGACCAGTATGTTCCTAAAAAGAGTTTACCACAAACGTTAGACAACAGCGGAAATGACGTCGTAGGTGACTCACCACAAGTGTATTCAGACAAAGAGTATTGGAGGCTGCTCTTGGATCCAAGGCGGCCACCAAATCCCAGACCTTTATCTTGCCATCGTAGGCGCCGCTGACGATTCGTTTCGTGTCGAAACGGATGCAGCGAACCAATTCTTCATGACCCTCCAGGACACGTAAACATGCACCGCACTCAATGTCCCAAAGTCTGAAATTAAATTAAATAATAATCTTAAGTTAATACAGATTGAGAACATCCGATAAAAATTATTTAAATTAATATTTTTTAACCATTTATAATCTATTCTGTAGCTGAGTATAGGAGCAAACATATAACTAGTTTAAAATAAAGAAACAAACTTCAAATCGAATCTATTCGGTGGCTTCGGCAATCGGTTTTAAATGCTGTAACTAATCACAACATTTACCAATTGCTTATCACATTTCATTAATCACTCATCTGGGAACTGGGTTAAAATAACACGCCTCACCTTATGGAATTATCTGAGCTGCCGCTGACCACCAGGCGATCTCTGTACTGCAGGCAGGCAATGCCACGTTTGTGGCCATTTAAGGTGCGCACGAATTCACAGCTCGATGTAGACCAGACCTTGATGGTGCGATCACCGCTGGCGGACACTATGTACTTTTCATCGAAGTCTACCACATTGACGGCAGCGCGGTGGCCGACAAGGACGCGTCGCAGCGTAATTTCGCTGGGCGAGGTCATGTCCCAGACGGCGATGGAGCGATCCTTGGAGCAGGTCACCATCATGCCGTTGTTAAAGCGCAAGTGCAGCACCGCCTCGCAGTGGTGGATGAGGGTGTTGACCATTTCGCCGGTATTGACATCCCACACGCGGACTGTGGAATCGCTAGAGCCACTGATGATCACCTTGTCGTCGTACTGGAGGCACAGCACCGATCCAGTGTGGCCAATGAGGGTCTGTAAATTAATGATAACGTCGTATGTAAGTATGTGATTAGGTCTCTATTAATTAATGTGACTGCTACCTACCTTAACGCACTGCAGATCCGTGCGATCCCAGATCTTGATGGTGTTGTCCCTTAGCCCGGAAACAATCTTGCCATCATCGTACTGCAGGCAATAGACACCCTTTGAATTTTCGGACCGACAATTAATGCGACGCAACATGTGGCGACCAGTCCGCCAGTTATTTTCTATGCTGTCAATGTCCTGAAACCATACAAAATAAAATTATATTGACTGATTGCAGTCAGCCCAATCCAAAGAAAACTCACATTCATTATTTTGGGGAACAACTCGCGATGGAATGAGTGTGGCCGCTGGGTTTGGCCCGGTCTTGGCTTAAAGAGGTACTGCATCCAATTGCGCCGCTCGGCCAATCCGCGCCACAAGGAATCTGTGCGCACCTTGCGTTCGATGAGCTTCTTCCAGAGCATGCCCTCGGAGATGACGCGCAGCCATTCCTTGCAGACCAGCTCGGCCGATTTGAGCGATTCGGCATCCAAGTACGATAAAATGTTCTCTGCAATGTGATCCAGGCCCTTGACTGCAGATGGTAGGAAATGATATCATATAATTAGTATAATTCTTATTAAATTAAATTATATTTTGATTCGTATATGAAGAGATAGGGTCTATGGTAAACCATATTAGTTTTTGGTTAAGTACAACTTAAGCTATTCGCCTAAATTAGTTTTGAAAGGCCATCTCTCCAGACGAGTTTATGACTAAAACAGCTATTTATAGTTGGCACCCAGTTATCTTTTGTATGACACATTTCAAATTTTCCATCAGATATGAGGTGGAGCAACCGTAGCAGCTACTGCTCTTGTCAGACACCAAAGCCATTCCAACCCAACCCAATCAAATCCCATGCAATCCAACCACATCAACAGACTTTAACTGGGAGACGAACAACAACACGAGGGAAAATGATGCACCTAACGGCATTAAAATGCACTTAGCCCAGTAAGTGGGAGTGGCAGTGGAGGAGGCGCAACCAATAGACCGACATATTTACATGTGTCATGAAAAGGAGTGGTAGGGTGCCTTCAAAGGGTGAGGTGGTGATGGGGGTGGCCACATCCACATCCACAGGCACATCTCCATCTGCATTGACAACCCGACTGAATGGGCCAAGTCATAGTCTGAAGTGCATGCGAGTATTCACTGCCTTCCACTCCCTCCTCGCTGTTCGCAGCATTTGCCAAACACAATTAAAAATGTGCATAACTCGCAATGGCAGGCTGTTTGGCGGGCGGCAACGATTTGGCTCAAGTTGTTTGCCGTCGCCGGCGACTAACGGTCTTAAGAGTGTCTATCCGTCTGTGAATCCGTCCCTCCGTCGGTCGGTCGTTGTGTCGGCCTGACTGTCCCCCCGGTTAGCTGCCTTTGAAGTGCATTACAATGTAAATGGAGGAGACAACGTTGCCTACTTTCAACTCTTTTTCTTTCCTAGAACAATCAGTGATGCCGACGAATCGCTTCAAAATGAAGAAAAATTAAACAAGGACAGTTTACAAGGTGGATAGCAGGAAATTGCAAAACATGTTTGATTTTTTTAAATGTTAATATCAAGTATGTTTATATTGTTACCTCTTAGATAAGTATGCATAACTAATAAGTAAACCCATATTACCTAAAATAACGTATTAAAATGATGCAATCTCAGGAGCTGTCTAGAAAAAGAAGCCAAATAGGCATAGCTGACAACCAAGCCATCAACAAGCATGAACAAGGAGGACATTGCCGGGGATTAAGCCAACGGAAACATCCGACGACTTCCTCAAAGAACTTATTCCAGACTGGTAGTTCAAGGAAAGAAAAGCTTACAAATTGAAGCGAAGTTTCCGCGAAGACAATTATAATATAGGTATGTACATACAAATATAAACAGCCGATTACAGTTCAGCTGGCAATCAAACCCCCGCTTAATAGGATGCAACATTTTTAGCTAAAAACGAACGTAAAAAGACTCAACCAACGAACCAAAAGGGGAAGCAAAATAAATATAAATAAATGCAAATTCTGTAAATGAATGCCCTTGCAAAGGCTAGAGTTGCACGCACAGGTTGTGTTGACTATTTGAGTCATAGATATGCGCACGTAACAATGCATTGATAAACGATGTGCTCGCTTACTCACATAATTCGATTCATTGTAAACCAGTTTATCAATACCTATAATATCCAATAACACCCATAACTTGGCCAATAGTTTCGCTATTAGTTAACATCTGTTAGCCGACAATCGATGGCAAAATCGATTCACATTTTTTATGAATAATATACAAGGTTCGCTCCGGCTTTCGTTCTGTTTTTGTTCCGGTAAAGCGCGTTTAATGGAAGCAACGACCTTTCAGTCAACAGCCAACAACCAAAAGCACCTGGCCCACCCACTGGCTCCTCTCGCTGAAAACATGCCCGGCAACAATCCGGAGGTGAAAGGGTCTAAATCGGGGGACGCGGAACGAATCGCACTGGGTTCTGAGCGGGATTTACCTTTCATGTTGTTCAACTTTGTACCTGCCGTTTGTTATTGTTTTAGCTATTGCGTGTCGAGGGATTAAACTTGGCTTCTGTGAGCTATAGTTAAGATTTTGATTGTAGTGAAGCTGTTCTAAGCCACTATTTTGGGAAAAAAGAGATTCAAGGTTTGGCACTTTGTTACCGTGGGATTTCTACCCTGGCGGCTGCTATCGCTTTCTTATCAGCGGTTGCCAGTTGGTCTCTTGACCATCTGGGAGTACTGACCTCTCATACGAAGAGCCGTGTTGATAACGCCTGTGTGTCAGACTCCCCCTTCGTAAGTGACGTATGCATGGTATTTTATTTGATTACGTTTTAATTAATTAATTAGCCAAACTTAACCTTTAACCTTTTGTTGGGTAATATTTAAGCTCTAAGAGTTATAAATAGGTTGTAAAAGCTCTTCTCAACAGTGAAAAGCTTTTTCATCTTAAATAATTACATCTGATTACTTATTGAACTGTATTAATTACATTATTTGTGTAACTGATATTCTATAAATCGTTTATATGATGCTATAAACAACAGAACAAGAACTTCGTCTGTATTAGGAAATATATATGGAATAAAACACTAGGTAGATGTCGATTCAATCCGTTAAGTTCAGTACTTCGAACTTGTCTGACGCTCCGTTCAATGATCTTCAGACTAATATCTACTCCGTGGTAATTCTCGAATAATAGATAAGAACTAGGAAAAACCGATCCATCTCAACAAAAATTCATTAGAAGACGTTATTTAAGAACCAGACCCGTGATATGCTCACTATATTTTCAGAGAATACAATGTTATAGATATCGGCACTCACTTGGTAGCAATGTGATAAAATCCCGCTGGAGCATCGGCTTGAGATAGGCATTGATCTGTCCGTGCTGATAGTGGCACATGCGGGACAACAGCTGCTCCACAAAGTCCACCTGTCCCGACTCGCTCCACTGGGTGAAGTACTGAAAACAGAGTTCCCGCTCCGTTTGGTAGGTGGGCGAGGAGTCTTTCTTGCGCACCGGGTCGTACAGCATAGTGGTTGTGAACTGTACCGGGAAAATGGGAGGGAGAAACATATGGGGAAATTAATTATGAGATTGCATTTGTTTGGTTAGCCGGGGCGATGAAATGTATGTGCGGTGCTTGGATGTCAAGGGGCGATCGTTAAAACTGGAAAAGTAGGTAACTGCGGGTTGTGCAACTTTTCTTTAGTTTAGGCAAGTGACGACCCAAACTGGGGGCTTACAATTAGGCAATTAGTCTCGACTCCGCTACGAGTTTCTTTCTACTCAAAATTTTCTCGTTTTGTTTTTATTAGACGGCGAAAGAGTTTGCAAAGCGGATTTCTGAAAAAAAATAAACCCGACGACTGGCAGCAGAAGCAGATCATTCACACGGAACAGTTTATAAATAATAATTGTATCGTTGTTTATTTGGTGTTCCATCCTCATTATGCGCATTCTAAATATAGCCATTCCCATTGATGGCCAATGAGACCGCCACGAACCCCATTAATCAAACGTCATCAATTAAATGCTAAAGATCTCAGCAAACAAATTCGAGTAAAATAATCAAATCGGACAATCGAGTGTGAGTGATTTAAGTAATTAAGTTAACTGCAATGCCAGCAATGCGAAAACCTTGCGTATTAACACTATGTGCGAGTGTAGTATGTGTTGTATATAAGTATTCGGTACGGTTGCCTTACTTTAATTGCCATATTATGGTTTTTTGTGAGCTTTAGTTGTTTGCCTTTGCCTGGTAACTTTGAGCTAATATGAAGGATGCCACAGTTTGTACTCGCAACAAAATCTACAATCGAAATTAACAAGATCTTCCATAATTCAATGACTCTGTAACTACTCTCAGACACGAGTCAAGGCAATATATTGACTGAGACTACACCATAAAAACATAGTCATTTTGTGTTTTAAAATTTATACAATTAAGTCCTATTCTATGTTACTCAGTTATTTTGTTAAAAGATGAATATGGAAGTTAAACCGTTTATTGCAGTTATTACCAAGAAGCTCTGAATTTTGTTAACCAGATTCAACCTTGATTCCCTCAAAATAAACCCAGATGACTCAAGCAAAACTTTATTGCTTGGCGAGCGAAAAAAAATTAAAAATAAAAAACAATTTTTGGGCTCATTGCTTAATGGTTTGCGGGAACTGACCTTCAGTAAGCCGCCTATCACATTTAACTCCATAACTATAGCCTTACAATAAAATAAATACTGATTGAAATGTACACGGCCGCAACAAAGTGTACTTTGTGTGAGGTTTTTGTTATTAATTGTGTAAATAAACTCGAGGCCAATTAACGAAATATCTGAAAAGTGATTTTGGACCACCAAAAATCGGAAATTGTGGGATATATAGAGACGGATGATTGGACTGAGGGGATGATGAAAAAAATGATGATGATGCTGGCGATGAATAATTAGGCTAATGCCTCTGAATCCGCAAAAGTTTAAGGTTATAGCCTATAGGATAGGCGACAGTGTCCGAATTTAATAGAGTGCACGAGTGCAAAATCTGTAGTATATACGAAAATAAAGCACTAGTACACGCACACAAATATGATATAAAGGTGGCGCGACCGTGTGTGCGTACGTGTGTATGGGGAGGCGACACCTTGGCCATTATGTACTTGGTTATATGTAAATTGGGTACATAACTAGGCAGAAATCCCGCTTAAACCAAGTAACTTAGCAAAAACTCACAGCCTGTGCATTGGAGTTGGTTTCGTCCATTATTTTGTCAGTCTCCATTTTCATCATTGTGTTGTTTGTGTGTTTGTAGAGTTTGCTGGCTCGTCTTTTCTCTCTCTCTCTGGCTCCCGCTGTCTCTCGACTGTGTTCCGTTGCACTCGCACTATCCCACCACGTAGGGCTTTTTGCTAACTTTTCGATTACACGGTTTGCAAATTCACTTTTGCTTGTAATTTCATATACTTTTTAGCTCGAAAGAAAATTACAATTTGCTCGTCTCGTTGTCAGTATGACCGCAGGCGTGATGCGCGAAAACGGCGAACGCGAAGAGGAAACTCAACACGCCGAAGAACCACACCAATTGTGCGAATCTCGTTTGCAAGTCATTGTTTTCGCTGCTCCTGGCGGCTCGCACTTTGTATTTTTTTGTTTATTAAGTTCGCGCAACTGCACTGCACGAATATAAGATTTTATTTTTCACGAGCTTCCGCCCAATAATGCTCCACTCCACCACAAAGCGACTGAAGAGGAGGGTTATCGATATCGATACCTGCGGCTCAGCCAAACGGGCACACCCGTAGTGCTAGTGTTACAAAACGCAGCTCCAAAATTGTTTTGAGTTTTCCTCACTAATTTTTCAAACAGGTAGTTGTAATGGCTGTTATTTATGAACTGCTATTAATTTCTTTTATTTTTAGAATCCCAAAACTTACTGAATAAGTATTGCTACAACTGCCCAGCACTGTTTGCCAGCCTTGGCAACCCTGCGCATCAGCTGACGATAAGATCGCTCTCTTGATTTTCTGTTGTTATTTAATTGATAAACTTTCTGCGGGGGGCGCCTCTCCAGATAACCTCCACTTTTAAATTAATAAACATTGCGCAAGTAAGTGCCGTCCGGCTGCCAATGCCTAAACGCTCACTTTCATTCGACCGCAGGCGGTGCTTCATTCCATTTTCAATCATTTCCTCCAGAATCGCCGATAAGTTAACATACTTTTTAAAAATTTGCAGTGGTACAACTGACCCGAATCCTCAGGATGGCTTGCCGAGACCAGAATGCCGCCAACTTCTTGAACGAAGGCAAGAAGATCGTGGGAGTCGCTCTCAACTACATGTAAATTAGAGATTACTAGTAAACTTGGTTCTGAATTGGTAACACCCCCAATCCTTGTCTGCCGCAGGGACGTTGTGAAGGCCAGGAACGTTCCGGTGCCCACCGAACCGCTCGTTTTCCTTAAACCCACCTCATCGTACCTTCAGGAGGGCCAGCCCATAGTCGTGAGTTATAGAAAAACCAAGAAACTGGAGAGCTTGGTCTTTTAAAAAAAGATAGCTCTCTGCTTGCACAACTTTAGGAAGATTTCCTACACAATATGGCAATCCCATGTCGTATGTTAAAAAAGTTATGTTGTAAAGAAACGTTATCTTACACCTTTGGCCTCTTATAAAAAGATAACTTTCTGCACTACGCAAATGTTGGACCAGATATCCGATTTTAAATTTGATAACAATTTTTTTTCGATTCTTCCATTTTGATATGTGCTTTTTTTAAAAATAAATTGGATATCCGTTCCAGTTACCCAAAGTCTTTACCAAGGTGGCTTATGAAGTGGAACTGGGCGTGGTGATAGGAAAGACCTGCAAGAATGTCTCAAAGGCAGACGCTATGAGTTATGTAGCAGGTTACTGCCTGGCTTTGGATCTGACGGCCCAGTGCAACTTGGTAAGTGAATTAACATTAAAAATTGTAACCCACTATCATTAACGATTCTTTCAGGGAGCAGCTCGAGCGGCTGGTCATCCGTGGACCCTGGGCAAAGGATTCGACACCTCCACTCCTGTCTCCAATTTTATACCCTTCGACCAAGTGAAGGATCCACACAACTTGCCGCTTTGGCTCACTGTCAATGGAGTCGTCAAGCAAAAGGGATGCACCGGGGACTTGATATTCAAAGTGCCCGACATCATATCGTACGTGTCCAAGTACATGACATTGGAGCCCAATGACCTGATCCTCACCGGAACGCCCAATGGCTCGGATGCGTTCAAGGCTGGTGATGTGATTGAATGCGGAATGGCGGAACTAGCAAAATTGACTTTCCAAGTGTGTGGAGAATAAATGAAAAACCCTAGCACTATTCTGGTGTTTCGGATTTATATTTGGGTTTTCACAATCGAAATTACTTCCGGTTGCTCTCGACGTCGTCACAGGCAATCAAATATTTCCGCATCGCTGCGCACTCGCTGGAGTTTTTCCATTTGGTTATCGGGCAGTTGACGTAGACCTGCTCCATAATACAGGCCAACAAGGTGACAGGATAGTAGTTGCACTCACCCTTTGTGTGCATCCATTCAAATTGCTGAGCCCGTTTCTGAGCTGTTTTATATACACTTTATGTATAGAAAAAATGTATTGATCTTCATTTTAAACCCACCATAATCCGTACAGCTATTGAGGCTCTTCACCATCAGTTGTGACATGGTCTGATCGTTTTTGTAGCGTTGCTGGTAACTCTTCTGCAATTCTTGTACGTTGACGCTTCCATTGATCAGTAAATAGCCATTGGTATTAAAGTAACACTCCGCAATGCACTAAAAAGATAAGGTAGTAAAGCTTTTATATCAAATATATGAAACATATTTTAAAGCTTTTTAAATCTATAATAATTCAATTTTTAACTATATCATACTACAACTAACCGCATGCAGGGCCACTTTATCGGATTTGAGATTCTGCCCATTATTTGTAGTGGTTGAGCTATTTTTCAGCAAGGTCTTCCGACAGGCTTTGATTGTCTTGTCGTTTTTTTGGACATCACAACAGGAGCTCATCTAACAATTGTTTAAAAAATGTAGAAAATGTTTTATTACATTGTGTAATTAGCATACGAATTTTGGTTGCTTCGCCTGGTCACAAGTTGTATAGTTAAAGGATTTGACATTAGGGCCAAAAACCAACAGAATTAAAAGCAGTTTTATTCCCAGATACATCTTTATCGTTCAAATTTGAAAATTTAACTGATTCTTAAAAACAAAAAAGTCATCAGATATAAGGCCACAAAACAATTAGCATTAATTTCAAAGTTAATGTTGCTTAAACAGCAATAATAGTCTGAATTTAATTCAATTAAACTGGTGAATGAGTATAGTGTTGTTATAAACTATAAATAAACAGCTGCATAAAAAGGTATTTTTCTATTAAGTTAATGTGTATGGTCATATCCACTTTAAAATTTCAAATATTTGGTAGGGAATGAAGATACTTCAATTCTTCGCATTGATTTCACTAAATTTTCTGGACCGACAATTAAGAGAATTTCATAGAAACACAAAATTCTCCAAACTAATTTTAGTTCAGTTACTTTAATAAATTAAAATAGACTTGGCACACAACATTTTTAGGGGAATTCCTAATCGCTTAAAAGTAAAGTTCACTATTTAATTTTTTAAAATTATCCCGCGATATATCTTTTGTGACTAAAGACAAAAGGTATTTTTTGGACATCGTTATAAGGTCGCACTTACACGCTTTAGATCAAAACAATACTTTTAAACAACACGAAATTTCGTAAACTTATTATAATTGAAGAACAGGATTTTTCCAAGAACCGACCCGATCCAATATGGACAAAGACCCTCCATTGCACCAGGGAAACGCAATCTTTCGTAACCAACCGTCGTACAAAGTGTTCAACAAATCCTTCGAGAATGTGAACGATGCACTCTACACATTTCTGAACGAGGTGGATCCCGAAGTGCTGCGACAGGAGCTTCGAGAAACCGCCGATGTCTTTAAATCCTTCAGCCGCATCACAGCCTTGAGGGACCCTCGCACGGAGGAGGTTCCGGGGAGTCCGCATTGCGACCATTCCGGCCCCGGTTCTGGCTACAGTTTTCCCAATCCCCAGGAGCTGTACTCGGAGTTGAATCTCAAGCAACAGGCCGCCTGTATGCGAGTGCTCCTGTCCTGGCAGCGAAGTGAACCCGTCGATGAGGAGGACTTCGTGGTGTGGCAGGCCACCGAGAAGAAGCGCTGCAACGAGCAGCAGCGTGTCCAGAAACACATCCACGACCACGAGCACGGTCACAGGGAAGTCATCTATGCTCCCATGAAAAGCCTGGTGGCGGTCTACAGGAAGTGGTATGAGCTTAACGTTAAGAAACTGCTAAAAGCATACCCCAACGAGTCCTATGTAACCTTCTCCGGCTTACCACAGTTGTCCCAGTGCAAGAGCCTCAATTCCCAGACCGCCAGCATAGAACACGTGGAGCTGGAGCGGATACTGGGCCGTGTGAGACTATGGCCGGAGGTGGAAGTCCGCCAGAAAGCACTGCGCACTTTACGAGTACGCTTGGAACGCTATTCAATTAGGGAGACTTATGAGCCAGCCAAACTTTTGCGAGATGAAGAGAAGGAGCTAGAGCTGGAAGCAGGGAATATTTTCGTGCTGCCTTTGGACTCACTCTTAATGCTGTTAACCTCCGGATCATATATTGACCTACCCACAGAAATGTTTGTCAGCCTAAAAGCATCCCCAAATAGTAATCACAAATGCATGGAATTCCAGTCTCCCTTTCCCGCCCGCAATTGCGGCTGGCATACAAATAGTTTGGTCCTGAAACGGGCTTATGAGGCATTTGTATCCCAGCCTGGAGAAGCAAAGTGGCTGGATTTCGGGCCAAATGGATCAGTCAAAGAAGTCCTAGAAAAGCCTACTTATAAAATGCCTTCTATCAATCTTCAAATGGAATACAAGCCCCAAGCAATTGATCAGCAATCTTTTGACATTGTAGATGGCAGCACCAACACCGCCTTAGTAAGCTGGAGCCTGAGATGTAAGGGCGAAGGCGAACAAAACAAGGAGTTTCAGGTCTTCAGCACATTACCCATACCAGCGGTTAGAGATTCCAAGGACAAGAAGCCACTTGGATGCCATTTCATAAAGCTGGAGAACAAGCCGGATTGCGGCTGCGAAATTATGTCCAAGTACGAGCTGATCAGTGCCTGGCTACAGCTAAAACTACTTGCAGGCGGAGATGGGTCACTGCACCCGCATCTCACTGCGGGACTTTGAGCCCATGATGGAGGAGAAACTGACGCTAATCTCGCTAGAGCAACAACTGCACGACTACTACAACACTAGCATGCCGCAGCTACTGTCCAACCTATACGAGTTCCTGAAGCTGCTAGACACAGTGCCCGGTGGCGAATACCTGCTGCGATACTCACCCAAGTATAAAGATAAGTTCCTACTCTGCAATGCCACCAAGGAGGCCCCGGCCCAGAGCTTTCAGCTGCATCAGCTCCTCACGGAAACCTCTCCCAGTGATCAAATCTTTCTTACCCAAAGCAGTTACCTTCCAATCTCGCCCACACTCTGTGGCCGCCTGCACACAGAACTCCAGCTGCTGCCCTGCGCATTTCCAGCAAAGGCCGACGGAAAGGCTATACATCGTCGAAATGCCGCGATAGCCAAGCCAGAGCCCGCAGCGCGAGCTCCTGGAAGGCGCCCAGTCAAGAAGTGGACAGAAGCTCAAACTCAAGATTTCCGGCGCAAATGTAAGTCTGAGCAAAGGTATGGAGCGCGGAGCTCCTGGAAGGCGCCCAGTCAAGAAGTGGACAGAAGCTCAAACTCAAGATTTCCGGCGCAAATGTAAGTATGAGCAAAAGAATAGAGCTAGAGCTCGCAAAAAAGCGGCTGCCAATGCCGAAAAGGTCCAACTGGACAAGATTATGTCGCTGTGAAAACAACACTCTAAATGCACATGCTAAGTTCAAATACTAAGCTGAAGATTTTCTGTTAGTTAAATTACCTTTAGTTATTAGTTTAGTTGTTTTTGTTATTTAAATATACAGCAAAGATAAAATTTAACTGTGTTCCTGTCTCGCAATTTCTTGATAATTTAAGGCTCTTATTCTCGATTGCCAGTCCCTTAATTAGCGTCATGAGAAGAATTCTGATCTACACCTGCTTTGAACCATTCCTCAAACAGTTCCTCGTCGTGCATAACTCTTATGCCTTCATATTTTATGTTGATTTGGCTGGTTTTCTTTAGGATATCCTGATAAGCGGCAGTCAAAGGTTGTTGTACAGGCTCCTTGTAAACATAGTCCTCGCCCTGAAAGATCTTAGTTTATTAGATTTTTGAGAGAAAATATATTTAAGCCATACCAGGTCGTATGTGCGATCCGAGTCCAGATCACCCTTGTAGGCGACAAAGGGAACGTGCACAACGGGTGGGTTCTCTTTTTTCCTGCACACCCACGATTCGGGATGATCGTGCCATTCGGTGATTAGGTTGCAGGGCTTGTGTCCCTCGGGCAGACAAAACTGGCGAGCCACTACAAATGCTTCAATGCTGGAGTTCCGCGAAGCTGATGGTTTAAACACGCACACGTCCTTAAAGAAGCGCTTGAGCTGGGTGTACAGCCGGCTGGTCCTGTCCGCACGGTAAATCTTAGACACAAAAGAACCGCCCGTCTCCAGGATAAAGGTGGATATGCTCAGGGCGGAAAGGAGCAGCTCGCCCTGAACGTAGGCGTCAAAGTCGTGCATGCCCGTGGAATCGGGTGCTCCATCGCTGACCACAATCTGTGCCTTCTCGCCGCCGAAGAACTTGATAATAGCCTCCGCCGTCGACTCCTTACTGATGTCCGCCCGAAGCTGTGTGACTCCTTCTATAGGAGCCATTCCTTGCAGGTCAACTGCGATGATTTTCACTTTATCTCGCTCCTCCGGCGGCAGTGGCTCGTACATGCGCTTGGCCAGCACCTGGGACCAGCTACCGGGAGCGGCACACAAGTCTACTGCACGGGTGAGACCTGTAATCAGTGGATAGTTGGGATTAGGCATGAAAACACGAGGCTGAAACCGAATTTATGTATGTACCTCCCAACAAGTGGAACGTCTCCTCCGCCTGGAGCAGCTTGAAGGCACTCCGAGCCCGCCAGCCCTGCTCCTTGGCCAGTCGGTAGAAAATGTCTCGTTTGTCCTTTGAAGTCCTGCCCATTTATAATTTTACAATTAGTCAACAAACAACAAATGTTAACGTTATCAGCTGAGAAATAACCAAATCCATTCACAATAGATGCGATAATGTGTTGTCGATTTAGCTTGTTTCCCGTTAAATTCTTCGGAGTTTTAAAAATATGTATTTCAAAACTTTAAAGTTATGTATAACATATTTTTGTATATTTTCCTTTAATTTTTATATATTTATATTTATTTATATCTTTATATTCAAGTTAACCCTAACCGCCACGGCGTTGGTTTGAAAAACCATGGAAAGTGCGGCACATGTTTTTACCCCACAGAATACCATAGCTATTTTTTTTCAATCTAGATCAGCTGATTTCTCTGGCAGCACAAATCGATAAATTTTTGTATCGAATTAAAAGTTTTTTCTGCCAATAACAAGTGATTTTTATTGTTGCAGCCCAGCCCGCAGATTGACAAATTCTTGCTATGAAAACAGGAAAACCGAAGATTACCCAAGCCCCGAGATCAACATAACACCAATAAAACAACGCAAACCATGGCGAAGTTGAAGAAGCTTTACATGAGCTCAAATCTGGAGGACTTGGAAAAGTTCTCCATTATTCCGGATCTGCGCAACAAGGGAATGAAAATGTAAGTGGACACCTGCTTTTATGCTGATGCGGCTGATTTAACTTATCTGACTTGTTTTTGCAGCCTGCTGAACACCGCCCGCAAACTGTACATGGCTGCCGAGGAACACAGACTGGATGGCGACGAGGAACTGGCCTACATCACCTACATGAAGTACTTCAACATGCTGACCGCGATTCGCAAGAAGTCCGATTATGCCAGCCACAAGACGACTGTGCGCCAAGTGCTAGGCGACACCGAGTCGAATCGCCGCATTATGGACTCATTGGAGGTGATAATAAACTCCTTGCGACAGCGTTATGCTGAGCAACGCCAGCCGGCAGAACGAATTGGTTCCGAACTGGTCAGCAATGGTCGAGAAAGTATTGAGATGCCGCCAATACAGCCTACGGACTACGCCCGACTGGGGCTGATCACCTGTCAGGAGCTGTACCGGCGCATGCAGGAGAAATCGGTTCTGGTCATGGACTGTCGCTCGAGCGCCGACTACGAGATATCCCACCTCACCTACTACTGTGCATTTAATGTGCCCGAGGAGCTGATAACACTGGGGTGAGTGGTTCCCTTACTTCAGTCTCTACCATGTGCTAAACTCCTTGATACACATATATTATATAGCATGTCGGCTGGGAGACTGCAGGCTCGACTCAGCAGCAGTGGCAAGGCATCGTGGGCTTCACGTTCCGTCAAGGATTCGGTGGTCCTTATTGATTGGAACACCAAGGATGCCCAACCGGCGACGAATACAGCCATTTCCACACTACTGGACATCCTGAAGAACGTAAATATAATTGAATTTAAGTCACGAATCTGAACTTATGCTATTCCCTTGCAGTGGGACCCCGATGTGACGTACCGCGCTCCCATACAGATCGTGGAAGGCGGCTACGAGTACTTCATTATGATGTACCCCACCCACTGCACCAATCCCAGCGTGCAGGCGCCGCAGCAGAACAACAATGACATCGATACCATTGATGACATCGAGTATCCCTCAATCCACGACATCACCATGAAGGAGGACATCAGTGCAAAGGACTTCAAGCCTCGTCCGGACTTTAATCGCGCCAACAAGCCGGCGGCTACTCGCACCTACGATCGGGGAGTGGCAAAGCCTCCAACGCAGGCCAAGCCGATAGCCGAGATTATGCGTGATCAGGCGGAGTTTCTCCAGCGAGCCGAGCAAAACGATCACCAGTTGGAGAAGGCCGCTAGGATGTGGAAGCGGCAGGCGGCCGAAGGCGATGCCTTGAATGATAACGAAGGGCAGGAGTTACATTTCAGAATCTTGCAGCTGGAGAGCAAAGCCCGGGACTATGTAAGATTTCTTAAGAGTTGAACTTTCTAAAAACTAATGGTTTATTGTCCCACAGATAGTTGAAAATAATCGTCTGCGTGAGGAACTAAGTCGCATACAGGAGCAGCAAAATGTTACCCAGCAACTTTCGCAGAAGGAAGTTGAGGCCACGAGGAACATCGAGTCTAAGATCCGGGAACGTCAGCTGTTGGATGAGCAGCATGAGATGGAACGCCAGGAGAGGGAGCGCCTGCTGTCGATCGCCCGCGAGACGAAAAAGCATTACAAGTCACCCCAACCTCCGAGTCCTCCATCGCCAAGCGAAAATTTGGAGGACTTGCAGGATCTTTCCGATCTGGAGTCTCTTCTCCAGCGGACTAACGAGGATCCGCCACTTGCACACAGCCAGGTGGAGAGGCCCGCATTCGATAGGGCGATGAAACCGCAGCCAAGAAGTGTCGAGAAAACATCGCAACGGGTCCGTGATTTCTCGCCCGTAATGGGTCAAAATGTGGTGAGTGATGGTTTGGGGGAGGTTGACTCACACCGGCCGCCTAAATATAGCCGCCACACGAGCCAAATCAATAACCAATGGGTCACGTTTTAAAGACAACCGCCCAGACGATGACCGTGCTTTGTGGGTATATTCTTCCACTCTCAGTCGCTCGCCGTCCGCACTCAAAGAATGTTCAAACCAAATAAACGTACAATCGCCATACTGTTGAGCAAAAACAGCAGCAGACAGGATTCCGCGAATGATTTGTGTGGCGGGCGTGAAGCTCCCGCTGCCAGCAGCTCCACCTACCTATAGCATTTATAGCTCCATCTTCCCGTTGCGAAGAGTAACTTTTGGGAAGGATTAAGGTCTACGAATTGGTACTATATTCCATTTCTTTCTGCCATTTTTTAGGGTCGTGGATTGACGGGCCTGAAGAACCTGGGAAACACCTGCTATATGAATAGCATCTTGCAGTGCCTAAGTAATACGCCTCAGTTGACAGAATACTGCATCTCAGATAAATACAAGAACAACATCAGCAGAAGTAACAAGACCAATGGCCAGGTGATTGAGGAGGTGGCTGCCCTCATAAAGGAGCTATGGAACGGCCAGTACAAGTGTGTAGCCAGTCGGGATTTAAGGGTACGTAACTAGGAATAGAAAATCCATAACTCTACATATAAAACCGTCATCTCTGATTGACGAAAAAAGCCTTTATATTATACTAACGAAGATATTTTCCTTTGCAGTATGTTGTAGGTCAGTACCAAAAGATCTTTCGCGGCGTTGACCAGCAGGACTCGCACGAGTTTCTAACCATCTTGATGGACTGGCTCCACTCGGACCTCCAAACGCTGCAGGTGGCCCGTCAGCGCGAAATGATCAGTGCTTCGGAGAAGGCTTGGTTGGAGTTTACCAAGGCCAAGGAGAGTATGATTCTGCATTTATTCTACGGCCAGATGAAAAGCACTGTCAAGTGTGTCGCCTGCCACAAGGAGTCGGCCACATACGAGAGCTTCTCGAATCTCAGCCTGGAGCTGCCGCCCAACTCGAATGTGTGCCAGCTGAACCAGTGCATGGACATGTACTTTAGTGGGGAGCGCATACACGGCTGGAACTGTCCAAATTGTAAAACTAAAAGGGATGCCATCAAGAAGCTCGATATATCGAAGCTGCCCCCAGTACTGGTGGTGCATTTGAAGCGGTTAGTGAAGCTAAATAATTAATTACTCTAACTTGCTTTACATTATTTTTAATCTTTTCTAGGTTTTACGCAGACCCCAGCAATTCGGGTGCTTACATGAAGAAGCAAAACTATCTGCGCTTCCCACTGGAGAATCTAGAAATGAATCCCTACATAGCCCGGGCGGAATCGCGGGCGGTTACGCCCAAGACCTATCAGCTCTACGCCGTTTCCAATCACTATGGCACCATGGAGGGCGGCCACTACACGGCCTTCTGCAAGAGTGCCAACTACGGAAAGTGGTTCAAGTTCGACGATCAGATCGTCTCGACTCTGGACTCTTCGAACGTCGTCTCCAGCGCGGCATACATTCTCTTCTACACCTGGCTGCCGCCCATGCAGGTGCCCTTGTAGGCACATCGCTCGATTTCCTTTCGGCTTTCCACTTTTCATTTTAATTGTGTTTTTGTTTATCTCTCATTTTTATAGTTTGTAAGGTCTAGTCGCCACACCTTTTTATCATTTACCAATTACCGTTTAACTGTTGCTATTTAAGAGGATAATCACATGTTTGTTGTTGTCAAGGAGCTTAGGCCGGAGGGATAGTATTACGCACGGGGGCGTATTTTCTATGGGTGCGGACTGCATTACCTAAAACCGAGAACTTCAAGTGCATTACCAGTATAACAAAGAGAAGATCACATATACGTTCGTTTATGTGGGACTATAGTTTATTTTGCAATTATATTTTTAAACCAAATAAACGAAATGAAATTTCTGATAAATAAATGATTGATCACTTAACAAACACACAACAAACAGGTTTTTTTAATCGTGCAGCATAACTTAATAAGTTTAAAGAAAAGAATCTAAGTTATTATTAAAGGTCTTGGCTGACTAAGTTTAGTCAACATTTTAAAATTAAAAATGGAAAAAATGCAAGGCTATAAGCAATTGAATTTAAATTTTTGCGCTTAAATAAAATTGACTTGACTAGTATTTACATAATTTAAATTCGTCGATATAAAGTAAAGGGGTTTTGGTCACACTAAAAGGCGCCACAATCATTTTGCATGAACAGTGTTGCCTACTATACCTTTTGAAAAGTAGCTAACTGCTAAAAACAGCTAATAATAGTTGCAATTTCGAAAGTAAAGCTTAAAAATGTCCGAATTAAAGCATAGGTTTTCGAATAAAGTTATATTTTGAGGTTTTGCGAAATCGAACGGACGAAAAAAGTCCTGGCATAACCAAAGTACAACAACAAATAGCCAACAATCCCCAATCAAATCTGGCTACAATAGACCTAATCCGGCAGCACTGACCACGTATTTGATTTGATTATTGATAGTCGCCAAATCACGGAATCTGCAGCGGCCCCGGATAATGCCAACTGTTCAAGATCGTGCATTAAATCCAAAGCAACCGAACCGCAAACCAGCAGCTCCTGAAAACCACCATCAGCCCGCCATGATTCTGCCGGAACGCAGCCGATTTGTGATCTATGCCGTGGGCATATTCGTCTGCTACTTCCTATACGGAATTGTCCAGGAGAAGTTGACCCGCGGTCGCTATGGCGAAGTTCTCCAGCCGGACGGATCCGTTGGCGAACGCTTCACCTACACTTTGGCTCTTGTTTGGGTGCAGTGCCTCTGCAACTATGTGTTTGCCAAGGGTAAGGGATTACTGGTTTTTCCGGCAAATATTTATTATTTATCTTCTAGTGCTACTTACCGTGCGCCCGCAGAAGCAGGACACCACAAACGTGGGTTCCTACGTGGCCACTTCTTTGACATATTTGCTAGCCATGGTGTCCACCAATATGGCCATGCGATGGGTTCCCTATCCCACTGCTGTGGTGGGCAAGTCCGCCAAGCCCATTCCTGTCATGATCCTGGGTGTGCTGATTGGCCGCAAATCCTATAGCTGGACGCGATATGCCTGCGTACTGACCATTGTCATAGGCGTTATACTGTTTATGTACAAGGAGGGCAAGGTGTCCAATTTGCCGGCTGAGACGACGCTACTCGGCGAGGTACTACTCTTCCTGAGCCTCGCCATGGATGGGCTTACTGGAGCAGTGCAGGAGCGCATCCGAGCGGCTAGTGCGCCATCTGGTCAGCAGATGATGAAAGCCATGAACTTCTGGAGCACACTTATGCTCGGCGTAGCCATGGTGTTCACAGGTGAGTGGTACTTAGCCTAAATTTTCGGTTAAGACTTTTTACAACGCTTTTCTTACGACAGGTGAGGCCAGTGAGTTCCTGTACTTCACTATCCGACATCCTGAGAGCTGGACACATTTGTCGCTTATTGCTTTGTGCGGCGTTTTTGGTCAGTTCTTTATTTTTCTGATGGTGGCCAACTTTGGGCCACTAGCCTGCTCCGTGGTTACAACCACGCGCAAGTTTTTCACCGTCCTGTGCTCTGTGCTGCTATTTGGAAACGTCTTGATCGCTCGCCAGTGGCTTGGTGCACTACTCGTCTTCGCCGCTCTATTTGTGGACATGCTCTATGGCAAGAAGGCGTCAGCGTCGGCGGCCAAAAAGTCACCCGTCGAGGGCAAGTTGTCTGAGGAGGAAAAGAAATTGGTTTCCTAGAATTTATTAGATAATTGAGGAGCATAATGTACATACAGACACGACACACATAGAGAAGACAACGCTTTCCCAGGCGGCTGCAACGCTAAAGTGTCCCCATATCCTAGAACTGCTAATCGTACAAAAGGCTTTAGCTATAGCGAAAACAGCATTCTATTTTTGATCTGCAAATCACTTACAGTCGAAATAAGTTATCTAAATTATTAATACCATTTAAAAATGAAGCAAACTGTCCAAAAGTTTACACCGGACCGCAGGGTCTCTACATACAGGATCATTTAATCATTTACTGCTACAATTTATAACTAAAACATGGTTGGTTCTTATTAAAATTTTAGGTCACAATTATTAAAAAAAACTTATAGAATGTGTTTACCTGGTAAAAACAACAAATGTACTTAACACATTAACATTTAATCAAAAGTTTTCACTCTATTTTTTATATAACGTTTTCACTTTTAAATTTATTGCGCGCACATAAAGTTGCCCCTTTTCATAAAATTTAAACGATATTCCCACACAAAAGGCAAGTGCTACGAAACAATAGTTTCTTCAAACTCATTATATCGGCCTGGCCGTTTCCAATTAATATGTGCAATATCTTTGTACAATTATTATTTTGTTAAGAATTTGAAAAGCGAGTATAAATTTTCTCTAGTATCGATATTTGTCTTAAAATTGGATGCAAGCAATCGATAGAGACATTTAAAGAACCTTGGCAACTCTAGTTTATTGCCGTTGCCGTTGCAGATGGTCGAAATTTTCGGAATGTTTTTAAAATGCATAAATCGAGTATTTGAAATGGTTATTATACAATAAAATAAACGCGACGGAATGTGACGTGCGAAAAATAAAACAACTTTTATTTTGTTTGTAAAACAGAAAACGATAGACGCGTATTTAACGGAGTATTGCAAAAAAGGATATCATAGTAGTTGCGGGAAAATGCAATAAAAGTCGCGGAAAAAAGCAATTAAATTGCATAAATTGTGCTATTTTTGAGTGAAACGAGTACGCTGGGCTGTGTGATTAAACAAAATTTAAAAATTCGCTGCTCGTTTGCATAAATCAAAAAAATATTTTCTTATTGGATGAGTCGCACTCTTGATGTTGTTGCTGCTGCTGCCAGCTGTTTTGCCTGTATTTGTTTTTGCCCTGGTGACGTCCGTGCGCGTGTGTGTGTGAGTGTCTTTTAGTGCTTTGGCTTAATTTTAGCAACTAAATACGAAAGAAAGTGAGTGGGGATCGTTGCGAGGCGAATAAAAGCAAAGACAAAAGCGGCAAAGTAAGTGAAACATATAAATTTTCAATATAATGGCCAAATACAGGCGTTGTAAAAATTAAATCTGCTCACATCTAGAAGAGAGAGAGCCCAATACACACCCCCAAAGTTGCTCGTTCTCTTTTCCCCTTAAGGGGGTGGCTAGTCATATGTACCGTTAGCATTTTGCCGGTTAATCTTCTTCTTTATTTTCTTCGTTCTCTTGAAATAACCGTTAAATAGAAGCCGGCAAAATGCATTATGTAAAATTTTAACTTTTGCCCTAATTTAATGTCATACTCCCACTTATCAGCGTGGCGTCAAACGGAATAATTGTGGAAAAGTGATTTATGCTTACGATTCGCTGTCCCGCTCTTTGGCAGATAGTGAAATGAAGAGCCCCTTATCGCCCGCACAAGTTCAACAATAAAATAATGACTGGCGAGCAAAACAAAGAGCACATGCATAAATAATATAGGCGAGCCACTGGCACAAAATGCACAAACAAACACACAAGTACACAATTGAGATGCTACTTTCACACTGATAACTTCACAAAAAGTGATAGGTGTGGGAGGGACACTGGTAGATCAATCCAATCAGTATTCTTTCCTTCTAACCCTTATTTAAAATCCCACTAGTTTGGGCATACATTGCATTGAGGCGTTATGCGACAGGCGTTAAAAACCTGGTTTTAATTCAAGGAACAAAAGAGTAACAACATGTACAATCTTAAAAGAGTGTTATTGGGTTTTATCAATATGGTGTAAAAATACACTTGCTCAATGACAAATTACGTTAATAGAGAAATGAAAATAAGTTCTCCAGAAAAATGTTTTTTTTTTCAATGGGAACTAATTTAGAAGATGTTAGCAAAAATAAATCCATACGAAATATTACATTTTAAGTTTTTTCATTAATTAATAGGTGGTAAGATAAATTTGTACTGAAAATAACACATGAGCTATACCTGCAACCTGTTGATAATGAATTGAATTCAAATGATTAAATTTGATATTTGTAATTTGATGTCCCCTGTACTTGATCTCAGAAATCTAATCTGAATTGCTATAAAATTTACACCAACTCTGTTTCATAACAAAAGTGATGTCGAATTCCATCTTAAATCCGAACTGGCGTGTTTCTACCTATTAAATTTACATTTTAAAGTGCTATTTTCGAACCGCAGAGAGAGGACTTAGCTACAAAGCCATTTCCAATCAAATAACTTTGTGCGTTCTCTGTTTTTTCTTTCCTGTTCCATTCCATAACAAAAGAAATTGTTAAGACTCGCAAAAACCATAATTTAAAGAAATTAATTTCAATGTCCTTTGAAATCCGTTCTCCACGGTCCTTCATCTTGACCCCATGCCAACCCAATCACTCTTCCTTTCGCCTTTCAGTCGTCACGACTCACCTGAGGCCAATAAACGCTTCTGACTTTTTCGAAAATAAAAGCAAAAGCGAATTTAGCGGGCAATAAAAAAAAGCTTCTCGGCAACTATTTATACACACCCTTCCCTTCCTGCATTTCATAATTCATTTGTCAAGTTCGTGTATGCCCAACTGTCTGCCCGACGAACATCATTCAGGCATACCACCCACCACCCACCACACACCACCGCCCACTGCCCATGATGTCATCCTCTGTGGGCCTTCAAGTCACATGTTTGGATGTGCGCCCAAAGGAAAAGCAAAATAACAAATAAAGAGGAAATTTCCTTTGTACTGGGGAAAAGTTTAGCCATTTCGTTTCTTTAGACGCAAATCGCGTAAAATTTTTCGCCAAGCGAAACGTGAAAATTGTTAGGATATGAGTTGTTGAAAATAATGATACATAGATGGCCGATCTAATTATAGGTTTTTATGCACAGAAAGAAATAAAAGTAATATCATATAATTTTTTCAACAAAATGTTGTCTATTGTATGCATTATAGTGCCACTTCCAAATATCAAAGTAAGTCTGTTCTTCGTCGATAATGTTTATAATTTCATTGACAGTATAATAAAGTTTTGTTTACTGTTTCCGTTTGCATTTGTTTTTGATTTTCACGCTCGTTGAGATGCAAATTAATTTTTATTGATCAGCGAACAAAGGATCCTCTAACGACTAAGTGCGAAAACAATTTGAATAAAAATGATAAATTACGTACGGTATAAGCTAATAATTTATTTAGTAGTTCCTTTTATTAAGATAAATTCGTAATTCCCATTCTGATTTTTTTTTTAAATTACGTTTTAAAAAAAGTTCAAAGTGTTTTTCGTGCTTTGGTAATTATTTTTCCTTTTTTTACGACATAAAAAATAATTTATAATTACATCATTAATAAAATTATTTTGCTATAATAGACTTAGTCTTAAGGAACGTAAATCGTGATCAGAAGGTTATTTTTTCAGAATCGTTAAAAAGAATAATTAATCATTTTTAGCTTAACAATCGCGTTTCTTGAGTTCTAAAAGCCTTCAAATTAGACGAATGAAAATATATTCAAAGTGGTCAATAGTCTTTTGATTGGTCAATTTGTTGATTTTTAACTGTTAATTACTATTTATTAAGTTGTCCATTTCTTTATCATTTTTACTTTTACCGTTGTCTGTCCTTGTCTGACTTAATAGATAACATTCTTATGCAATTCCATGACAGAAAGTATCTTAAAACCTTGTTTCATCACATGGGCACAATGTGCAGATGAGTCACTCCGTGATTTTGTTCTTTTTGTACCCTCCCAATTCTAAATCCTCCGCCCACACTATTCCATATGTTTTCAGTTACCAGTCATGCACCACATTTCCCTCCCCCTTTTTATTTTGTGGATGCGCTCACGTGTTTGGCTAACAGCTGATTGCAGGCTTTCTCTTGTGGCGTATACGCAATTTCTGGTTCGTTCTATGGGTTGAAGGTAAGCCGAACGTCGCAACTGCCAGAAGCCTCTTTCTCTCTTTGTTGTGCCTTTTACTCTCGATATACCATGTAATCAAAGAGGTAGAGGGTAGTCTTTAGTCTATTAAAATCATGTGGACTTTAAAAGATATGTAGGAATTTCCCAAGTAATGTCTACCAAACAACAAAAAAAATAGTACATATCTGTAGCTAAAATATCAGTCACTTTGATAATCAAAGCTATTAAAATCGGTAAAAAAAAACATTTCCATTTAAAAGAGGTTTTGCAACAATAAATATTTATTTAAATAAGCTGATGCTGTGCTTTCCCAAGCGCCTTGAAGGTATGCAATAACTTAGCAAAAGGGTATCTTATGGTCGGGACTGTCGACGTCTTTGTTTTCTTCAACCATTTTATGAATTAAATATAATGCAGCTCTCTCTCGTTATTTCTCTCTTTCAGAAAAATTTTGCATGGTGGATTTGGCTTTTCAAAAAGTAAATGAACCCATGCAGTTCTCTCTCTCTCTCCTCCACTCTCCCATTGCATTTTGGCGACTCGCTTATTGCTCTTTCTCACTTTGGCTTCGGTTTCGGTTTATTTTGGTGCTGCATTCATTTTGGCCGCGTTTCGTTTTCGCTTTCGGACCCTGTTTGTTGTTGTTTCGCCAATTTCGTTTTTGGCAGTTGCATAAAATAAAACAAACGCGAAATAAATTCCGCAGCAGCCTGCTCTCTCTCTCTCTCTCTTACTGTCTCAATGTGTTCTCTTTGTTTTTATTATTCCAAGTGCTCAGTCGAGAAGTGTTTGCTGCGCGTTCTAAATGTTATTTTTTTATTATTGTATTTTAGTGTTGCGGTGTTAATTTGTTCGGCACTAAAAGAGCCGCAAAAAATCAATAAAATATTATAAAACAATTCGGTGCACGCAGAGCCATGGATATGTCAATATCTGGCTGACCATCTGTATATATGGCGTATGAGTGATATATATAGTATTGGCATGTTTGGTTGTGCGTGTTATGCAAACATTTTTCGTCAAAGGCGTTAAAAAGCAAGTGAAAAGAGTAAAAACTTTAATAAAAACAAAAAAAAAGAATGTCTCAATTTAAAGTGAAAGTTGCCAATTAGGAAACTGCAAATATTTATAACAAATAACATCAAAGCTCTTGAATTGCTTTACGTTGGTAAATAAACTGCTTTAATTGAATAATT